GAGAGAGAGAGAGAGAATCAGCAAAACGTACCGGAAATGGGATTGTCCCCGATCGAAGGTGCTCTGATGCCGGGCGACTTGGCAACCTTGTACGCAATCGTGAGCCGGTTGAAGATGACCAGCAAGACTAGCACGACGGGAATGGCCAGGGCCACCGTCTTGGTGTTGACAGAGTCGATGAGCATTATGGGCAGACTGTTTTAAACAAATGTTTGATGATCAACCTTGCCTTGCAGAAAAAAAAGAACCCTTCCGTAGCTCCGGGGCGAGGGGGAGGGCCCTTTTAAACCGATAGTCCCGGACGCCGCCAGCCCAACAGCTGTTTCAAGCTTAGACACGAATGACAGCTTTAAACCGGGGACGCGGCCCATCACACCCCTCGTCATTGTCATTACTTCGAGCTTTCCCCAGTGACGACGAAATAGCTCAACCGATCGCTGCTCGTCCTGCCCACGCACTCTCTAGATGGCTACTTTGTCTCGCGACAATGGGCGAGCAAGTCCAATGTTGCTTGAACAGGTACATCAGCCCATCGAGCTGTCAATCGGCTTCCAGCTGGTTTGCGATCAGCACGTGAAGTGGAACCACCACCCATCAACTTTCCCGGGGCCCCGGACTTGGTGGTGGGTGGGCTTTTCCACCAGTTATTAGCAGTTAGGCCAATGGCTAGCTGGCAAACGGTCAGCCGATCAGGGAAACAAGAATAAGCTGATGTAGTGGCAGGACTGGGGTGATGTGGTTGTTAGCTTTCCAGCTAGTAAGAGTTAGCGCTGTGACAAGTTGTTGGAGAACCCTTCTGTCGAGACTACTACAACCATCTCTCTGTAGCAAAATTCAGATACTGCATTGCGAATCACTACACTGTCAAGCGAGATCCAGCCCTGTACGGTGGCTCCCTCTACAGCAGCATAGCTCCCAGTCTCTAAACCAACATAGCTCCGCACTCATCAAGGTCCTCAGCTTTCAGAAGCCACAATCCTGACATTGAAATCCTCTGATTTTATCGTGCTAACTAGTTAGCCCCGTGGCTGCCCCTCTTCGACAACAAGCTCCGCGGGGTTCCTGGTTCCCGCCCATCTGCAAAGGCAGGGACATATTGGGATGCTGTCGGATAATAGACACCTCGAGCAAGGTATGTACTCCAGCAGCACAAATCACATGTATAAATACCATGTGTATAATGTGACTTGTGGCTCTTGGCAACATTGTGGGGAGCAGTCTCATAGCAACGCAACCCCCTATCCCCAGTCCTACCCCAACTGCCGATCTGCCACGCATGTCACCCCACACCCAGACTCACGGAAGCCCGGACCAAACATGGCATCCGCTTCTGTTGATTTCCTGATGCGATCGCTTCACCGTTGACTGGCTGGAAGACCCCACACGGAACTCGGAGAGTGGTCTGTCGTCTGAAGAAGATGCGCCGCAGCTGAACTGGTCGTCGATGCGACAGCAGCTAGAACAAATTGAATCAGCCCGCATGTGATGACGGCCACCATCCACGCGCTGGCGGGTGGGCAATCTGAAAATGGAGAGGGAACACCGACGCTTTCTTCCCTCTTGATTGATATCCCGGGTAGAGCCTTGGTTTGGCGTCTTCTACATCTAATCAATCCCTGCGAAATTCCGAGGCAGCCAACTCTATTCGTAAATGACTTTGTTATTATTATATGGCCACCGCACAAGGTTTGGCATGTGAAAAGCACCACGTCGCTGTTGTGACGCTGGGACGCCGCAAGTAAGGAGTTGGCCACACACAGTGCCGCAGTTGAGAAACAACGCCTCTCGATCTACCGGATGGCAACAGCCTTTTGATGATTACGAATTACAAAGTCAGATTCCCGTCGAGGCCAGCGCGCTTGAGCGTGTCCACTAATATAGGTAGATAAATGTATCCCAAAGCGCCCGCACGGTCTGGCAGTGATCCTGTCACACGGCGCCAAAGGTCTCGCTTTTCGGCAACGCACATTTACATAACTGTATATACAACGCCTAGTCTTAGTTTTGCCAAGCTAATAAAACACATGGGCTACTTAAAAATGGCTTAACCGCCTTGCTGCCGCTGTGTCACCTTTCTATGTCCAACATGGCGCGCCAGAATTCTCCGTCAAGATCGACAGGAAACTGTAACGCATCTTGAAATGCAGGTTGGTCTACCTGCATTGGCTGCGCAAAAGGTGCTTCAGCTACAACTGATGACATGGGTAATGCACAATTTTCAGTGCTTGCCTGCCTCGGCTGCGGTGATGCGGTTGCTGAGATCTTTGACACGTACCAGTGACGAATCCATAGAATCTTGCGGTGATTTGCTTCTAGAACGGACCTTCCGCCATCTTCAAATTTCTGACGTCGACCTAGGGACTGAGAGACGTGGTCGCCCTCGCGGAACCTATCGCCCAGACTTTGGCAAGCATCCGCGAAATCGAATGTCTTGCGCGCAAGGTTCACATCCCAGTCAGGGTCGTCAAGCAGGAGTATCATGCTCGAGGTCACGACGGCGAAAGCCATGTATGACGTCGCGACGAGCGGCATTGCACCGAGCATATCGAGAGGAATGGTGGCATACGTGGCGAAGAAGTGTCTTGCCGCTTCGAGGCAGCCCCAGAGTGCTTCAGTGTGGCGAACGGAATCGAGCGGGCCTCGTAGGTTTATGGATGCTCGGATGTGTATCGCCGGCTCGTATAGTCTCATGAGGGCTCCGTGATAGTTGATCCATAGTAAAACTGGACGACGCGGTTGAGAAGGGGATATATCATGACCACGGAGACGAAGAAACATACCATTCCCGCCCACCCTCGGGGGCTGCTTTTGCACAAGAGCATCTAATTCTCTCCGCGCGGTTGCCATTATCATCTGCAAGGGAGCATCCACAACCCTGCTTGCAGACCCATGAACATCTGGGCCAGGGAGAGCATCGGACACGCGCAAAAGTATCTGCTGTATGCGAACCAATGCAACCAAGCATGGATCTGACTCGTATTCTTGCATTTCCAAAAGCTTGTCGCAGCAGTATGTCAAATATGGCGTGAAGAAGACCGAACTTCCTGTCCTACGAAATAAAGTGGTAACGCTTCCCCCCCGGAGAAAGTTAGTAAATGGAATGTTCATCAGAGGAGTATACGTACACTGAATTTAAATAGAAGCACCCCAGCATGGCGCGTCTGTCATCTTGAGTGTGGCCTTGTCGAACAAAACCTTTGACCTTGCGAATTGCTGTGGGTAGAAATGAGAGTCGTGACGGCCCAATGGAATCTGGAGACTGGTCAAGGCCAAGATCGACGACGAGAGCAACGGCCAGTTGCAGCAGATCTGTTGCTTGTGATTCAATGTAAAAATGGAAATTTCCCCTTGCCCAAGGAATGGTAAGTAAGACCCAAGTCGAGCTGATGAACCGACGACAGGACTACTCACCACGCGACAAAGACCAAAATGGCCTGCAAAAGCTCCAGTCGCCTCTCTTGGTTCACGACAACATGCTGCGCGAGTTGTTGCCGAAAGAAACGCTGCGCCTCTTTCTGGACAGAGGCCGGCGCCGGCACCGTCATCTGCAGAAGAGTTCGGGCGAAGAACGGGGCCGAGTCGTGCAGCTCGGCGGCTGTCATGGTGACGGGTATTGGCACAAAGGGAAAGTATGGCATATACGCGGTCCGATAGAGACGGATCGCAGCATCTGCTTCTTTCATAGAGACGCTGAATCCGGGGCTAATGTCGATGTGTTCTGTGCTGCTGTCCTGTAAAGCGTCGGGCGTCAAGCCCGGCGTCGACGAGGGGAGGGAAGACGGAGCACGAGCCCCGTTTTGGAGATTTTGACTGAAGAGACTTGTTCAGATTAGAAGTCATCGAGGCCGGTGAAAGCGAACTTGCCTGCTTGAACCCGCTTCGCTGATGGGCCCACCGGCACGGAGCATTGACATGAGATGGTCAACTTTTGCTTCGAGCTGCCCAACTCGTCTGTCATGGTGTGAATTAGCCCCGGGCTTGGAACGGGGGCCAGGAGATGAGAGCACATACGTGGATGGTCCTCTGTGTTTTCGTGAAACAGCCTCGGGGACAATACAAGAGATGTGATTCTTGGCGCACCTTGACAATTATCATAAATACGAACATGATGAGCTATTATTCGCAAGATTGCTGGCCTACCGCTGGCATGATGTCGCGTTGGCCTCCAAGGGCCAAACGCATTTGAGCTTGGATTTGGTGCAGCTTTGGCACGCCCGTGTACGGAGCCTCGGCCCTTGCGCTGGCGTAAGGGTAGACGTTTCCATCTTGTTCCCGGGTGTACTCGGACGAGAGAATGAATCCGATGGGAGAAGCAGGGTGGCACATGTGACGAGAGTAAATGTTTGGGACTGAGGAGTGCTCGTCAAGCCCGTCTTTGTCTTCGGAAAATCCGACACACCAGCGGGGCTGCCCATGGCGGTGCTGCGCTCGGGTTCGGGAAGCAAAATAATACCCGATTCCAACAAGTCCATCATCCTGGAAGCCATTGTTGAATCCTTCGGTCGGAAAGTATACTTTTAACATATTGCTCTGGGATGATGGACTTGTTGGAATCGGGTATTATTTTGCTCCGAGAGATGGATACTCGCGGATAATTCGGCTGGCATAGTAAACGTTGTGCCCCGAGACATGGATGCTTGACAATAACTCGGTTCGCCGTAGCAAATGATGTGACCAGAGGTGACGAGATGCCTTGCACGTCTTCTTTCCCAACTTGCTCATTTAATTTTTTACTTATTTGCAAAGCCCCAGCGTTTTCTCCGGCCAGCAAGAACACTTGCGTTAGCACAATACACGACAAACAAATCAAGCTGCCAGCATCGGTTGCTCTCGTCATGCCGGATTCTCAAGACAACGACAAAGCCGCCAGTAGTCTTCCGATGGAAGCTACTGAGCAGGCACCAGATTCCATACAGTCACAACAAGGGACTACTGTGTACCCAAGCAGCGCAAGGCTGCTCGCGATTGGAATTGGCCTGAGCCTTGCCGTCATCTGCAGTAACCTTGTACGGCCAGCTTCATACATTCCTCGCCCTAAATAATTACGATATTGATAATAACCATTTTTGTATTCGCAGGACCGTTCCATTCTTGGTGTCGCAACGCCCAGGATCACGGCCGAGTTCCATTCCCTCGACGACATTGGCTGGTACGGCTCGGCGTACCTGCTAACGTCATGCTGCTCTCAGCTCATTTTCGGCAAGATATACACTCGCTACAGCATTAAATGGGTTTTTATTGCAGCTCTTGGCATCTTTGAAGTTGGCTCTATCCTATGCGCCGCTACTCCCAACTCAGATGGACTCATCGTCGGTCGTGCTATCGCGGGACTGGGGGCCACGGGCATTTCCACCGGGTCACTTCTCGCAAGTTTCAACCCGCTCCTTCCAGTATCAAGGCTTTCCAATCTAATCAAGTGCTCCCAAGATCATCTCGAGCATCATGCCGGTGCACCAGCGACCGAAATACACAGCCATGATTGGTGCTTGCATGGGCATCACCCTCGTCGTTGCCCCATTTCTCGGCGGCGTTTTTACAGACAAGCTTACCTGGAGTAAGTTTGCCGTCTTACAGCGCATACACGGACCCTTTTACTGATTATTAACATGTCTACCGCAGGATGGTGTTTCTGGATCAACCTGCCCCTCGGCGGACTGACTGTCTTGATTGTCCTGCTGCTTGTTCGCATACCTCAACAGCCCAAGATGGCTGGCACCTCGGGTAGACCGACGCTGGATAAGCTTCATCTTCCGGGAGTCGTACTGTTGCTGGCTTCAACCGTTTCACTTCTCCTCGCACTCCAATGGGGTGACTCCAAATATGCATGGGGTAGCTGGCGATGCATCCTTCTGCTTTGCATTTTTGGTGTATGTGGACTGGCCTGGTGCTGGCTTCAATATCTTCAAGGAGACGAGGCCACAGTTCCGCCGCGCCTGCTGAAGATGCGGTCCATTGTTGCCGCCATGTGGTTCGCATTTTGCCTCTTTGGCATCATGTTCATCCAGTCGTACTACGTCCCCATTTGGTTCCAGGCGTTGAAAAATGAGTCAGCATATCACTCCGGTATCAATTTGCTTGCAATGAGCGTGGCTATGACGATGGCGTTCATCTTGACCGGTGTCTTGGTAAGTCACGTATCTCCCCAGGTAACAACGCACACTAACTCGCGCAAACAGACAACCGTTACGGGCTACTACGTACCCAGTATGATTGCGGGCTCCATCATTTCAGCAATATCAGGTGGTCTCATGATGGAATACGACGCCCATACGTCTACCGGATACTGGATGGCCTCACTCATCCTGGCGGGCCTCGGGTTCGGCCTAGGTGCCCAACAGTGCATGATGATACCTCAGACTATGCTCAAGGGAACAGATATTGCTCTTGGTACATCCGTCATCATGTTCGGTGAGACACTATCCGGCGCCGTTTTTCTTGCGGTTTGCGAAAGCCTCTTTCAAACCAGGCTAGTGCGAGAGCTGCATAGGCTCGCGCCGACTGCAAACCCCCAAGTCGTCATAGAAAAGGGAGCAGTGAACCTGAAATCATCCATGACAGAGCTATATAGCCCAGAAGTGGCCGCGGGGGTTATGCAGGCTTACTCTGGAGCTCTGCAGCCCGTCTGGATCGTGGCAGTAGTGCTTGGAGCCCTGAGTCTTATTGGTGCTGTATTCACCGAGTGGGTGAGCGTAAAGAAGGACAAGAAAAAGGACCAAGACGATGCTGGGAAGGAAGTGAAGAGCGCCCCTGTTGAAGAAGAAGATTCTGTCCAAGTTGCATAGATTGCGTATTTGCGTCTCGGGCTACGTTGCAAAGCAGGGTGCGCGAGGAAATTGAAAGGATAACCAGCTAGGGCATAAATGGTGAACCTGAATGTGAAATCCAATCAGCGGCTGTTGTAGAGCCAAGATCTACCTGTCTGCAATCTGACACAAAGGGCCGGGGGCACCGTGCGCGCAGATGAAGATGCCACGGTGGAAAACGTGCAAGGCGCGGCGTTGATGAATGTGAGCATCTTGCAGCGTTCTAGACGGTAGCTGACACATGACACGACCGCAGCGCTCATGTCCATGGCTGCTGAATTGCTGCGTAGCACAGCAGCAACCTGCACTGCGGTTCCGTCCATGATGTGTGTCTTGTCACGACATGGACAGGACATACAGGTACCGAGGGGCTCTGTCGTGTGGCGCCGATGGCCTGGGTACAACGTGACATGGATGACAGTGGCGATTTGACAAGAGAAAAAAGAAGGCAGGGCAAAAAAATTGTTTGCCAGGTAGCAAAGTACCGACTTGAAGCAGAAAGACTTGCGAGAGCAAAGAGATACATGACGCCGCTCATTTTCGGCCTCGACTGTTATGCGTTGTGATGAAAAAAAATAAAAAAATAAAAATAAAAATAAAGGCAACATGTGTACGTCCGTAATTCGTACTTTTCGCCATGCACGTCTTACGAGCTGAGCTGAGCTTTCCGGAGAAGCTGATGAGGGGTGAAATACGGGCATGGCCATGGGACCATCTGTAAGAAATTATTATTAGCTGGAAGAATTGATTGCTATCCCTCCGAGACTTGTCTTGTTGATAGGAGGCGCACTATTATGCGTCGCTGGCTTGCTGGCAACGTGCGCGGGCGGAGTAGAGAGATCAAGGCTGGGGGAGAGTTTATTGTGCGGGCGGATGACGATGGGTAAATTGTCACCCCGCGCGATTGAATACGAGAAGGAAGCCATTTTTTTTTCTTCGGCCCGCTGATGGCGTCGATCTATTCTTGGATAAACTATGTAGGTATGTATTGAGCCCCAACTCCAACTCGATGTCTCCAGACAGGTTGGAATGCCCACTGCGCGCCCGTTGCGTTGTCCCGGCTTAATTACGGAACATGGTTTGAGACAAAAAACTTGGTCGGCATGCACGTTTGCTTATTGTCTTGGGACGAATTATGGTTATTTTTTTTTTTTCGCGCAAGCTCTATTTATGTACGGACATGCCTTGTCGATGCTGCTGGGGGTTGGTTCAGGTTGTGGGACGCGAGGGCCACGGGCTGACGGTGACGGCCTTCCCTTGACTACCTCTAGGTACCTACCTCCTACCTAACGCCCAACTATGCCCGGTGTGTGACCGGGCAGGGCTGGCATGGCCACAATGAACGCGGCCAATCGAACGAAAAAACAGGCGAGATCAAGCCCCCCGGACGAGGACCCTGCGCGCACAGCAGAGTTCGCTAATTTGTAGTAACTGCCTACTAAGGCTGTGGGCTGGGGCGAGAGTGGCAGCTAATGCACCCTCAAAATACGAAGCTGGTGCTGGTGCTACGTCATACGCTTGGCCCCAAATGCTACCGTCCTTGCGTCCCTGTGCGCGCATCTCTGCGCATTGCTGATCATTGTTTTTTTTAGCCCTTGAAAGAAATGCGAAATGTCTTGAACAAGATTCGCAGAGTGTGGACTCGACGCCACTCTACATTGTTGCTGTTCGCTCGCCGAGACATATAAGAAGGGGGAGCCCAGCACGCTCTTGGTGTTTGCTGACAGCAGACAGCCAGCAACCAGCATCTCCATCATTCTTCATACAGAGATAGAAAAGCCATCACCATCCTCTTTTACACAGTTCACAACTACCCAGACAATTCTAACAACTTTTTATACACCCACGTACACAACCCAACTCGTTCATCAACAACCAGCATCCTCACCATGTACGGCCTCGTTTCCGCCCTCTTCGCCGCCTCGGCCGCCCTCGCCGCGCCCGTCGTCACGCCCGACACCAACACGTGCACGGCCAAGTCGCTCAAGGTGACGTCGTTTCTCGTCAAGGATTTCGACTTCCACGCCAGCTGGACCTTTACCACGCCGGCGCACCAGAACTCGTGGGGCTACGTCAACTTCACCCTCGCCAACGCCGCGGTGCCGTACGAGTACCAGTGCAGCAGCGCGAGCAACTGGCTGTCCGACTTTTACTACGGCAACATCAACTACAACTGCACCGACCCGGCCGGCCAGCCCACCCAGCACGGCACCTTTAGCTACTCGCGCCCGACCGAGACCCTCGCCATCAACCAGACCTGGATCTGCGCCCAAGAGCAGAGCCGCTTCTGGGCCGAGGGCAGCGCCAAGCTCGACCTCAAGTGCCAGGACACCACCTACCACAACCCCAACTGGACTACCCCCGGCCAGATCTACTCGGACCGCAGGGTCACGTGCGACAAGCTGACCCAGGTCGTGCCCCTCACGAGCCTGCGCGCCGCGGCGTAGAGGCTGCCCGTGTCTTTTCGCCTTTGATGGATGGCTGGGCAAAAGGCCTCACTGGAAGGGTTTTGAAGAAATTCCCCTTCTTCCACGACAACGAAAAAAGAGAAAAAGATTGCATGACAAAGCGTTGCTTTATTGTTCTTTGACCGGACCAGATCGTGCTCAGCTGGGCACGACTCTTGACGACACACACACACACACACACGACATGGACGCGGAAGCGGTGGAAATGGGCACTCCAAACGAGACTAGAGTTATTTACGCATGCGGCTGACAGTACCCATTTCCTCGCCCAAGGCAGGTAATTAGTCATAATATAATCATGTACACCATCCCGACTTGTTGCCTCGTGTGGTGTGGTGAGGTGCATGTGTGCGACGAGGCTTACTTGCCCAGACCGATCCTTGCATGTCAAGGTGACACTTGAGACGGCGCCCGAGGTGGCTCTGACAGAAAACGGCCGGACAGAAAAGAAGTAAAATCATGCATGCATATTGGGCAGGTGGGCGGCATATTGTCATGCGAAATCACGCAACAGCAGCCGCATCTTGTGTCTTTATTTTGCCAAGTTGCCGAAACGTACGAGGCACGAGGCACACAACGTGGGAGCGGAGCGGGGCTTTCCGTGATGGAGCAAAAAAGCCTCGATGTATTCGGGTTATTACTTGTTGATCTTGTTGGTTTCGCCAGTTGGTTTGGTTGAACGGTGGGTGGCTGGAACCACGATGTGGCGGCGGCGGGCGGGCGATGCGGCGTTTGCTGGCGAGCGGGTGATTGACGTACTGATGAGAGGCCCCCAATGGTTATCTGGCTAAACTGTGAATACTAGTTAGAGTACCTGCCCACTAAACAAGCATTTCAAACACTTCAAACCTTGTCAGCCACGGAATTACGAGTTGGAACAAGACCTCCGAATAGTTTTATCTAGAACCAAACGGCCCGTCAAAAAAGGGAAAAACAGCCCCGAAACTCTGGATCCTCCCGGCGGAGCTCGCCCAGCTCGAATTTGCTGAGGCGGCCGCTGTGATTGGTCGGGTGGAGCCCAGCCACGATCGCGTCATCGGCCATGGCTTGGAATTGAGGCTTGCCCCTTCCCTTCTAGAAGGTTAAAAAACAATGCAAAGATTTTCTAGTTATTTCTTCTTTGTCTATACTGATGTTACATTTCTACTCTGTTGTTGAATTCATGCATCCTTTAAATGGTTTCTTCGTATGTTTGTGTAGATGGGTTCATCGTTGTATATGAAAGAGTCGTCTCAACTCCGTCTTGAACCGTCTTCTAGAATCATTCCCACGTTGCCTCCCCCCCCCCATTATCCAACTCGAGGGTGCGATGGCACAATTCGGCCAAGCGGATCCCGGCCCCGGACCACTTGCCCAGCTGAGCTTCTGCAACAAGAAAATGGATTCCCTCATTCGGCGTACCCGACTCGTGCAGCTTTGCATGCAAGCTCGCCAATGTCGCCATTTCTCTTTATAAGTAGTCTCCCAGTTCTCCTCCCCCCTCCCCGCACGTCTCCGTTCCTTCCTCTCCATAAGCTCCATCTCCTATACTATTCCCACCGTCTTGTCTTGTTCCTCTGGGGTTTGTGTGGTTGTTCATTTCTCTTGAGCCGACCAAACCATGTCTCATTCCAAGGACGATGCGCCGTCGGGCGCCCAGACGCCTCTCAAGGGCGCCAGCGATACCGAGATTGGCGCCGTCGGTAACCTCTCCGATGTCGAGAGCGGTACGTGTGCTCTGTCCAACCGACAGACCAACAGAAGAAGAAAACAAAAACTCTGACCAACGTGAACAGCCCGCTTCCAAATCGCCCGCGACAACAAGCGCCAGCTCGGCGTCCCCTCGGCCACGCTCCTCATCTTCAACCGCATCATCGGCACCGGCATCTTCGCCACGCCGGCGACGATCCTCTCGCTGTGCGGCTCCGTCGGGCTGACGCTCTTCATCTGGGTCGCCGGCATGCTCATCGCGGCCGCCGGCACCGCCGTCTACATGGAGTTTGGCACCGCCATGCCGCGCAACGGCGGCGAGAAGAACTACCTCGAGTTCGTCTACCGCCGCCCGCGCTTCCTCACCACCTGCCTCTACACCGGCTACGTCGTGCTCCTCGGCTGGGCCGCCGGCAACTCGGTCATCTTTGGCGAGTACATCCTGCACGCCGCGCGCGTCGAGGTCACGCGCTGGAACCAGCGCGGCATCGCGCTCGCCTGCCTCACGGCCGCGTTCCTCGTGCACGGCTGCGCGCTCAAATGGGGCGTGCGGCTGCAGAACGCGCTCGGCATCATCAAGATCATCGTCATCGTGCTCATCATCGTCGCACCGCTCGCCAACCTCAAAAAGGTGCGCGAAAACGACAGCTTCCGCGACTCCTTCCAGGGCACCAACTCGAGCGCCTACGGCATCGTCACGGCCCTGTACAACGTCATCTGGAGCTACGTCGGGTACAGCAACGCAAACTACGCCCTCAGCGAGACCAAGGACCCCGTGCGCACGCTCAAGCGCGCCGCGCCGCTCGCCATCGGCACCGTCTCCGTGCTCTACATGCTCGCCAACATCTCCTACTTTGCCGCCGTGTCCAAGCAGGAGATGCTCGAGTCCAAGCGGCTCGTGGCCGCCTCGCTGTTCCGCAACATGTACGGCGAGTCGGCCGAGCGCGCCCTGTCCGTCTTTGTCGCCCTCTCCGCCTTCGGCAACGTGCTGAGCGTCATCTTCTCGCAGGGCCGGCTCGTGCAGGAGCTCGGCCGCGAGGGCGTGCTGCCCTTTTCGCGCTTCTGGGCCAGCAACCGGCCCTTCAACGCGCCGCTCGCCGGCCTCTTTGAGCACTGGGCCATCACCACCATCACCATGCTGGCCCCGCCCTCGGGCGACGCCTACAACTTTGTCCTCAACCTCATCTCGTACCCGCTCGCCATCATCAACGCCTTTGTCGGCGCCGGCCTCGTCTACCTCTACCGCAACAAGGAGAAGCGCAACTGGAACCCGCCCTTCAAGGCCACCCTGCCCGTCGCCGTCTTCTTCTGCCTCAGCAACGTCTACCTCGTCGTCGCCCCGTTCGTGCCCCCCTCGGAGGGCCAGAACGTCTACGAGCACCTGCCGTACTGGATCCACTGCGTGGTCGGCTTCGGTGTCATTGGCGCCGGCGGCGTGTACTGGCTGATCTGGACAAAGGCCCTGCCCAAGATTGGTCGCTACCAGCTGGTGCGCGAGACGTACATGGATGAAATTGATGGGTGGGAGCGCAGTCGCTTTACTAAGAAGCCCCTGGACAGCCACATCGAGTAGATGGGTTACCCGTTCAAGTTGCATAGCGTTTGTTTTGATTGTTTCTGAAAGCATAGATTGTGATATAATATGAACAACAATATTGTGCTGCCATGCTCGCTCAATAGGAAATATGTGATGTGCCTGCTCGCCCTTTGCGAGTTCCTGTCGTTTGTGCCGCATTGCCCAGTCGGCGTCGTAATAAACCAAAACCTAACGTAAAAAAAAACATACCCAATTTCCTCCCAAGCATTTCCCTCATTATCATAATCGTAAAAACCCCCAGATCCCATATACTGCACACAGAACAAAACATGATGGGGCCCTCGTTGTCCCAAACTCCAACACTATTCCACCTCCTTCTGCGGAATCGTCTTCTCGCGCAGCCGCTCGTTCGTGCGGTTCCGCTCGTTCTTGCGGTGGTTGACCTTCATGTTGTTGATCTTGTGCATGAACTCGCCCTTGGGGTTGTTGGCGATGCGCCTGTCCCAGCCGTCGCCGGCGCTGAAGAGCGACTTGACGAGCTGCTTGGAGGCGCGCAGGCCGTTGCACATGGCGGCCACGCGGTCCTGAAACGTCGCATAGGACTCCTATGCCCCGTCCGCGCCGGACCAGTAGTCAACATTCGGGATGCCCTGCTGGGCCAATTGGGCTTGTTCCTGACCGGTACCTCTTGTTAGTGGGTTTGGGGGCAGCGCTGTGGTGAGGGGAGGGTCTGGCAACGTACAAGCATACGCCAACAGAGCTGCTCGACAACGTAGTCGGAAAGCTCCCTACTGAGTACCTTTCTCTGCTGATCGGGCAGCGACATGACCGGGTCTAACAGGGCCTGCTTTCTGGGGTCGTCGTCTGCGAGCTCAGCGGCCGCTTGCCGCTGGGCCATGTGCTCTGGGCCGAGCGTCTTGGCCATTTCGCAATAGTTGGTCCAGTCACAGATGGCGCGGTACAACTGGCCCACGTACTCCGTCTTGTCTTCATCATGGACAGGAAACGTGCCGTCTGTGAGCGGGGTGGTGCACTCCTCGGGTTTCTGCGCGTACAGGCTCATCAGCGCGGCGTGGTTGGCGTGTGCCTCGGCCTGCGAGCGGATGTGCCTGTGGAAGACGCCCGTGCCTTTGGCTTCGACAAGCCGTATGAGCTCGTCCTGGCGGGCCGTCCAGGCTTCCTTGCTGCTCTTGACCTGCCGCTTGATTGTGCGTCTCGTCGGCCGCGAGGAGCTCCCGGCGGTGGGGGAGGACGGGGAGAGCCGGCGAGACGCGCGTCGCTTGCGCGGGACGGGCGAGGTTGGCGACGGAGGCGCCTTCCCCATACTCAAAGCACGCGCCGGCTGCACCGTGGGAGAAGCCAGATTGCCAGCGGGCGGGTCGAACGCAGGGTATTGGTGTGTCAGAGGAGCCTGCGGCGGCGAGTACTCCTGCTTACAGGCGTTCTGTTGCGGCTTGTGCGTGCGAGGAGACGCCATCTGTTCAGCAAAGTCACTAAAGGGTACTTGGAGAGCAAATGGCTGGCTTTGATGAGGAAAATCGTTAGTTTGTTCGGTTCGTTGGCAAGCTCACGTAGACGCCTCTCTGCCTTACCTCTGAGGCGGGCTCGGTGCCCCAAATCTGTATTGATCGAGCTCATAGCTGTCTGCGCTATCATACGGAAAGGCCCAAGTCTCGCTGTCTACGTCGCGTCCGCCGAAATTGACATGGTTAGGAAAGTCAAACAGCTCGGCAGACGCATCAACGGGCGGGTATGTATGATAATAGCCCAGATCGGCCGGATGTTGGTACGTCTGAAAATAATTCTGGAGCTGCTGTTGCTGCTCCCACACAGAGCCCACGAGGCCGGTGCCGGTTGCAAGGTCTTGCTGGTTTACAAAGAGCTCATCAGGACCATCGCCGCCGTCGGCCATGGCTTCGGAAGCAAGGGCCGGAGAGAGGCAGCCCCGAAGAGTAGGGTGCGCTTGGGGGAATTAAAGAGTGGAGGAAAGATGGGCTAAATCAAGTGAAATCAAGTGAAATCTCCCACGGTTCACCAGCCGCTGTTACTTTGCTAGCATATGCTTCGTGGTGAAGTGTTAGAGCGAGAGGGGAGCCAGGAGGAGGGAGTAACTTAGAAGAGGGAGAAACAAGGTATAAGGAAGAGTCAGTAGACCAAGATATAGTGGGGCGGATTTACTAATCTTCGCGGCATTTAATGTGAATACCTGGTATACCTGCTTGGAGGTGAGTTGTGAAAGTAGGCAACTGGGTGCCTAGTGGGTGTGTTTATGACTTCTCACAATGGGTTCAGTTGCGAAGTGCAAACGCCGCTCTGCATGGTGGGGTCCTTTGACGAGGCGCCGCTTGCCAGAATAGTGTCGGTATGCGAAGGGCGAGGACGGCGTGAATCTATCTTCTTTAATGCGAGCGCGCGGATGCCGATTTGCAGAGGTGTTGCACCGCGCTGAGTAGATGGTTGATCTTGGTTTACATGGCAAGAGACGAACCAACATACCTGGGACTGGACTTTGGCTGTGCTTGTTTGCCTAATCTTGTATAGCATGGATATTCAAAGTATATTTGGCCTTATATCAGCTCTGATGAAATCGAGTGCCTGAACAAGACTGCTGCCTTGATACTACGCAGTTTGCAGCAGTACGGGCATACCTTGGAGATTTCATCCCCAATTCGCGTTTCCCAGGTAATGACAACAATAGCAAAGGTATGACGCTCAGGTAGAGTGGTTGCATGCAGCGGTAGCGTCGATCGCGGCATGTGGCATGCATGTTGCGGTGGGCGCTTTCGTCGCAACCGCGCAGTGCATCATGGTCTGGCGGCAGCGCAGGCAAGCCGCCGATCAAAATGATCCATGGAATACAATGAAGCTGAAAAAAAAGGACAAAAGAGGCAAAAAGCCGTCTCGTGGAAAGCAGCGGCTACGAAAGGCTCAGTGCAACCTTAACCCCAGATCGCCCAGCTGAGAGGGGCGCCAAGCACGTGGGGGGAGAATCGGAGCGCTATGTGGGTGTATTGATTGGGTGATTTGACTGATGAAGTCGTGCGATGGAGAAACTAGTGAATAGCTTCTAGAGCTGTACATCAAGGCAAAGTAACAGCAAGTTGGCAACAAGGCGGCGTCTCGTGTTTGGACCGAAGCGGGAGCGCGAACCGTGGGCGTTGTCGGAACAAAGGCTGGTGGCGTTTTCGGAACGCGGGCTAGAACTGGGATGAGAAAGAAGTTCATGGGGGTCACACGGTGGCTTGCGGCGGCAGAAGAGGTCAAGCAAGATGTTTGCGCCTTGCATTGCAGATGATATAAAAAGGGCGGTAGGTTACGGAGGGAATTTGACGCGGTGGTTGTAGAGGTGCGATTTTTGTAAGCAAACGGAATCCCATTTCAAGGTTGGAATGACTGGCGGACGCGGGATCGTGAGAGCGGTCTCGCTGCCTGTTCTAGCTATTGGCTCCGCTAACTAAATTAAAAGGTAGGGAACTGTGGGGGAACCACTTGGACGGGGGAAAGGATGGGGGAAACTGACCTGATTTCTTAGCGCCAAGACGGTGGATTTTTACACAATCCCCCGCTCATCAACTACGAAATTATGGCCGGCAAAAGCTGGTCACATCAAAGACAAGAAGGCTGCAGCGGGTGGCCAACAACTGTCTTGCCCTGTTGGTTTGTAAAGAAGACTAGAGTGTTGGTTCCGCGGAGCGTATGAGGAGAGTCGCAAGTTGAACTAAAAAGAGAAGAAGAAAAAAAAAGAAAAAGAAAGAGCTTACATAAATGTCAGACCATCTCAGGATGGTGCCTCTGTCATCCGCAGTCGGCCACTGTCATGATTTGCCGTCACGAAGCCATTAGCCAGTCACGACCAGTCAGCTCCGAGCAAGGACAGGCTCAGCGGTGTACCAGCAAGGTTTCCCTCGTTTTCCCCGTTCTTGTCGCTTGTTATTGCTTGGCAGGACCGTTTATTTAGATTATGCTCTTCGCAAGGCTAGTTTTAATTATTATTCGGCAACGAGTTCGGAACTGAACGCGGGGCAAGCCACAATTCCCAGCCTCATCTCACCAACAAGCGTCCGTCCGCGGGGAAAAAATCCTCCCCGAACCTTTTGTAGTTGCGCCACCAGATCCACATCATCCACACCCCCAAACAAAAGCCCAACTCACCAAAAAAGAAAATCACCGAACCCGTCCCAGTGCTAATTTGAATAGAAATAAAAAGATGACTCGCCCTCCCGGATCCCTACGAGCGACGTTTCCTCATCCCTCGCGCAACCTGCCGACATAACAATCCCCCTCCCGAGGAACCCAGCTCCCCCCCTTCACCATGGGTGTCGTCGTCGCCAGCAACAACGAAAAGACGGCCAGTGGCTCGCTTCACGACTCGTCGTCGCACGATCATGCCGCTGACCATGTCGTCCTCGAGACGGCCCCCGAGGTCATTCCCGTCCCCGCGGGCACCACCGAGCGTCGCATCCTCACCAAGATTGACTTGCACGTCGTGCCTTTTCTCTGCATCATGTACCTCTTGGCCTTTCTCGGTATACAACGCCTGAACTCGACTTGACAAAATGGTGGTGCACCCGGCTAACAATGCTTGCTTTCCCTCAAGACCGCGTCAACATTGCCAATGCCAAAGTCTTTGACCTCGCCAAGGACCTCCACCTCGAGGAGCCCGGCAAACCGGACAGCACAAAGTACAACACGGCCCTCGTCATCTTCTTCATCCCCTACTGCCTCCTCGAGATCCCCTCCAACATTCTGCTCAAAAAGTTCAAGCCCCACGTCTGGCTCTCCATCAACATGTTTCTCTTTGGCTTTACCACCATGATGCAGGGCCTCGTCACCAACTACGCCGGTCTGCTGGTCACGCGCTTCTTTCTCGGCGTCTTTGAGACGGGCATGTTTCCGGGAGGTGAGATTTTTTTTGGACCCTAGTGCTACACCTCCCCCCCCTTCCGTCGCATACTAACTACCTCCCCCCTAGCCTTTTACCTGATCGGCATGTGGTACAAGCGCTCAGAGGCCCAAAAACGCTACTCCTTCTTCTTCAACAGCACCACCCTCGCCGGCGCCTTTGGCGGCCTCCTCGCCGCCGCCATTGGCAAGATGGACGGCCTGCGCGGCTACAAGGGCTGGCGCTGGATCTTCCTCCTCGAGGGCGCCCTCACCGTCTTTGTCAGCTTCTTCATCTACTTCCTCTTGCCCGACTTTCCCGAGGACGTCAAGTGGCTCACCGAGGAGGAGCGCACCTACGTCCGGGCCCGCCTCGCCGCCGACCAGGGCAGCCACGCCATCGAGCGGCCCATCAAGGCGCGCGACGTCCTCGCCGTCCTCAAGGACCCCAAGGTCCTCGCCGGCGGCTTCGCCTACTTTGGCATCATCGTCCCCGCCTACGGCTACGCCTACTTTGCGCCCGGCATCCTCCAGACCTTCCACTACGGCAAGATTGAGACGCAGCTGCGCAGCGTCCCGCCCTGGGCCGTCGCCTTTGCCTTTTCCATGACCATTGCCTACGTCTCCGACCGTCTCCGCCACCGCATCGCCTTTGCCATTACCGCCATCCTCGTCGCCATTGCCGGCTTCGCCATCCTTCTCGCCGTCCACAACCACACCACCGTGCAGTACATTGCGCTCTTCCTCGTCGCCAGTGGCGCCTATACCGCCATGCCCATCATCGTCTGCTGGTTCAACATGAATCTTGGCGGCCACCACCGCCGCGCCATCGGAAGCGCCTGGCAGGTCGGCTTTGGCAACCTTGGCGGCATCATTGCCGTCTACGTCTTCCTCCAGCGCGACTCCCCGCGCTTCATCCCCGGCTACAGCGTCTGCCTCGCCTGGTTCGCGCTCTCGGCCACGGCCTGCTGCGTCTATGGCTACATGTGCTGGAGCGCCAACAGGAAGCGCGATCAGCTACCGCCCGATGCCGCCGCCGCGCTGACGCAGGAGGAAAGGGACAATCTGGGCGACAATGCACCCGATTATCGCTATCTGTTGTAACACGGCGTTGGTTTTGGACATGAAAGACGAGTGTACGGATTCTGTTTTGGAATCCATCCAGCGTCGGTCTTTTTGCTCGACGTTGTATTGCATACAACGATAGGCTTGGCTATTTGCTGTTTTTGAATATACCCATGTACGAAGCGAATAATGCCAAGATGCCTTCCTGACATTCACTACCCTGTAGAATTATAATATAACTAGACCAGTAAATTAATCATGGGATCTGTATTTGCAAGTTCATAAAAGACCCTTGTGACAAGGGCGATTTTGTCGAACTGAAGCCACGACCTAGCTTACGAAGTGTTATTAGGTACTAGGTAGGCAGTGAGTGGTGGCGTCGCGGCTCGCCCCTTATAATTAGTAATTCCTGTATCGGAACAACAGCGCGCCGATCACGAATCGTGACAACATGCGCATCACCCCTCCCCCGTAAAAGCACACATCACTTTATTTCAAATGCGACATGTTGATCTTTACGCAAATATTCCAGAAACTCTTTGCTGTGCTGGGACATTGGGCAAAAGTCGCATCGTTGCTACTCTTGCGCCTTCGTCCCAAAGCCTCCAGCACCGATAATATTGAGCAACAAGACGACATCAAGGTAGGCATACCGCAAAACAGTTATTCATAGCGGCTAGAATAGCCAGCGGCTCTAATAGCATTCTACTAACGTAATTTCTATACCAGCGGAATCCAACCCCCCCGCCTCCCTCTCTCGAATATATACCTGTATACGGTGAATGGGAACGAAAACACTTCCCCCACTGGCCCGAAGCCAGATTCCAGATACCCGCTATAAAGGAGCATGCTGGGCAGGTCTACTACCTCCGCAAGGGAGACTTGGTCGGTTGGGGAACCACTGCGCTGGTAGAACGACTGCCCTCGGGCGATGCAATTGTCAAGACGCCTCTACAAAACCCTCTGAGCCCGACCGAAGAACGTATGAACCGCGAGGCCGTGGCTCGCGAAGCCGAGGTCTATCAGCGCCTAAGAAGTGGCGACAGGGATGACATGCGCACAGTTCCGAAATTCCTAGGCTGGGATGCCCAGTCCTGCACTCTGACCCTTGAATATCAGCCCAACGGAGACCTGGCTACCTACGTTAGGGACAATGACGCCGCGAGCGGCTTGGATCTTGAAACTCGTGGAAAGTGGGCGACCCAGGCAGCTCGAGCGCTGGCGAGCCTTCACGATGAACAAGTAATCCACGCCGACGTCGCCCCCCGGAATTTTCTTTTGAATAAAAGTTTAGATTTGTGCATCTGCGATTTTGCTGGGAGTATCTTTCCGGGAAGTTCTATAGAAACAGGCGCTCCGGGGCCGAGGTATCAGGCAGGACGTTGGGGGAGGGGCTATGTACCGACCAAGGCTGACGACCTTTTCGCGCTTGGATCGGTACTGTACTTCATTATGACCGGCAATGAGCCCTATGCGGATCTAACGGATGTTGAGGTTGGACGTCGCTTCCAAGCAGCCGAGTTTCCAGAGACGGGCTCCGTCCAATGCGGTAGTGTTATAGATGACTGTTGGCACGGTAGGCTCACTACTGCCCAAGCTGTGGTGCAAGCTTTGAATGGGAATAGTGCAGAAAGCGGCTCATAGTGTTCCTCGCCTAGGTCATCCGACTCTCCTGGCCCTTCTCGTTGCGTGTCATTCGATCAATTTTCCATCTGGGTAGTAAAGTTTGAAGTTCACTGTCCAGTGACCACTGCTTGCGAGGACCATGACAACCGGCATACCTTCAAAGTGTAATCTCAGAACCTATCCTTTCTGAGACTAATCAAAGAAAAATCAAGAGTAAATAAATTTGAACAAATTCCATGTCAAAGATTGGCGTCTTTATCATGGCCATTCGGCGGGGTGGTAGCCCTGGTTCAATGGTATGACGTAAATGTAGATCCCCATGCCGGTTGGTACCTCTCCGACTTTTATAAAACTCGCCTTGGGGTACATATTATTCTCGAAAAGATGGCAGCACCTCGGTAGGGAAAAGAAATATCCAGATCCAACAGTGTTTTCGTCCACTGCCTGAACCGACGTATACTCTGATGGCTCCACGCTCAGTATTCGTCGCCACTTTTCAGATGCAGTTTAACTTCGATTTGATACTAGTTATGCCTGAAACAGATCAAGATCGGCTGAGCTGCTTCGCAGTGGTAGCTCAATAGTTGCTTTGTCAGGAAGGTGGGCGGGCAGCTGCAGCTGTCACGTTGCCAGCACGCAATGCGATGGTACACGCCGGCATAGGCACGAGTGACAAAAGAAGTAAAAATAGCTACACTAGGTAGCTATACACCTTTACTAAAAAGAAATAAGGAAGAAAAATTGAATGGGTAAATAAGAAGCTAAAGAAGGAGATAAATAATTTGAGCATCATATGCCACTGACTAGTAGTGGTGTATTTTGTTACTGGTGATGGGGGATATTTCTGGTAGTGCCTGTCGACAGATGAACTTAGATGGGAGGGGAATTGGTCATACAAATTAGTCAAAAAGTTATGATTTTCTCACGAGTTTCAAGGAAAAGGCACGCCCTACAAGCAACATTTCCGTGCCCCGCCCTTCACCCCACGCTGGCCGGCATCGCAAACGGCGTCCACCCACTTCTGGGACTTTGACTTTATTTCGTCCCGACATCCATTGACCTACAAAAAGGACTCACTTGTCATCTCAATTACACCAATTACCCATAGGTATCCCAACACCCAGCGCCTTCATCATGTCCGACGGTGTCATTCGTCACGCTCGCAAGGAGGGTATGTCTCCAACCCCGCCCATTGAACCCCGTCGACCCCTCTAACCCTCGAACTCTCTCCCAGATGTCCCCATCATTCTCGACCTGATCCAGGCGCTTGCCGACTACGAAAAGGAGTCGGACGCCAACAAGGCCACCGTCGAGACGCTGACCAGCACGATTGCCTTTGCGCCCTCGGGACCCCCCTCGGACCCCAACACCACCGCCTGCGTGCCCAACACCGAGGCCACGTCGGCGAGCCGGCCCGCGCGCTGCCTGCTGCTCGCCGACCCCGCGGGCGAGACCGTCGCCATGGCGCTCTACTTTTACAACTACAGCACGTGGCGCGCCTGCCCCGGCATCTACCTCGAGGACCTGTTTGTGCGGCCCTCGGCGCGCGGCCGCGGCTACGGCAAGGCGCTGCTGGTGCAGCTCGCCAAGGAGGTCGTCGCCTTTGGCGGCGCGCGCCTCGAGTGGTCGGTGCTCAAGTGGAACGAGCCGAGTATCAAGTTCTACGAGAAGATTGGCGCCCAGGGCATGCATGAGTGGATGACGATGCGCGTCACCGACGACGGCCTGACCAAGCTCGCGCACCTGCTGGATTGAGAGGCAGAAGTAGATGGGTTAGGCAAAATAATAATAATGTGTTTTCATCATTGGCTAGACTCCGGTGGATGCGTTGTAGTAAAAATACAAAGTGTACAAACAGGTTTCCTTGTTTGGCAACTTACGAGGCAGACTACTTCAACAGCTGGCCATTGGCGTCGACGCCGTCAAAGATGGACCGCTGCTGGGGCGTAGCATCTCGGAGACGGGGCAAGTCTCCAAACGTAAACGTGTACTGAAGCGTCCGCGGGTCCTGCTCCATCTTGGGCGTGAGCATCCACGCGCGAGCGTATGCTCGTCGGAACCAGCGCGGTGAGAGGCCTTTCCCCGAGTGCCCGTGTCCGTACGGCCCGGTATCCTGTTGACCGGCGCGGGCGCTGCGCTTGGCGCCGTGACTCCTCTCCACCGCGGCCGCCGTGTGGGACGCATATCGCATCAGCGCGGCCGCTTGGCTCTCCTCCTGCAGCGGCTGTGCGAGCGCGCCGCCGACGCGCACGCGCCGCGCCGGCACGCGCCACTCGTCCGCTTCTTGCGCGCCGCGGCTCAGACGCCCGAGCAGGTCCCACTCGCCTCTGCCGAGCGGCGGCTGCATCTTGTCCGCGCTGCGCCGCCACCACCGCGCCTTTTTGGCGTTGACGACGCACTCGGCCGGCGGGTCGCCCCAGATGTTCTCCTTGGGCACGTCGACGTCTGGGTTGATGGTCTTGATCGACGTCCCGAGCAGGTGGGACGTGGACCGCGCTTCGTTTTGGTGCCGGCGCTGCGACGACAGCAGCCGCAGCAGTTTTGGTTGATCCCACTTTAGAAAGAAGCGGTTCTTGGGGTTTCCGATCGGCCGCTTCGCCTTGGTCGGCGGGTTGGTGGTCGCCGCTGTTGTCGTCGTCTGGGTTAGCGCCTCGAGGGCCTGCGAGTCCGCAGCGCCCTGCGGCACGACAAACTCGCGCATCAGCTGCCGCCGACGGGTGCCGGAGCGGCCAAAGGCCTTGGAGATGAGCTCCTCCATGCACCTGCGGTGGCCGGTGTTGGCGGCCGCCAGCGTGCGCAGCACCCGTTGCGCGCGTTCCCAGTGTGGTTTGGCGCGGGGGTCATATTTGCGGTGCTGCTGGAACCGGGTCTGGATCAGGGATTGGATTGTCGGGCGGACGGCGGGCGGGAGGTACGAGCATTCGCGTAGCAGCTGCCGGTAGATTGAGAGGCCCTTTATCGGCGCCAACGGGATTGGACGCGGTGCGGGCATTGTTCGTGGTCGATGTGGCTCCGGCAAGGACTGATGGTTTGAGTGAAGTCCTTTTCCCCCAAATCGGGTTGCGTGTGGAGTACAACGTAGAATCGGTGTCGCACTAGCTACATGCTGCTGATGAGAATTGAACTCTAACAAAATGATGACACAAGAGTTTTTGCAAGTGTCATCCAGGCTTTCACAGACATCTTTGACTGGATGAATATTTGAGGTTCGTTCGAATAATGTATCATGATTTATGTGTGTTGCTGCCGTGAATGCCAGCGCGGGTTGGTGACATACGACATACATGACCAGCCCGCTCTTTATATCTACTAACCTCTACCAAGTAGATGCATCCGAGCCGCACAAAGGGACATGTCTTGTTCAGTAGACGCAACCCAGGGGTGAATCCTGCAGGCCGAGACGCACAGGTTCCATCTGCAAGTGTTCGTCTCAGAGTGTTGCCAAACCAGAGCGCTGGTTCGTCCAACTGGCAACACCTCCCCCCGGATCCACAGGGTATCCTGCCACTGACTGGCAGGCGAATGGTTATAGTTAGTTAACGATGGAAGCTTCGGTTTCATGGCAGATGTAGGTTGATTGGTGCATTGGTGCACAATGTGGCAATGTCGTAATTGTTGAAAGGGTGAAAGTCAAACCACTTTAGGACGCCCCACATACAGACACGTCTGATAGGTAGGCAGTTACGCGGTAAAACGCGACACGGCTGGACACGACCAGACACGAAATCACGAAACCGACACGCTTCCTGACTGCGATCAATTAACGACCATTGGCGACATCCATTCCGCACGGAGCCAAGGGCACATGTACTGGTACCTCCGACAAGGATCGTTACCCTGGTACAAATTACCTTGGTAGGTCGGCAGTCCGTGGATAACTCCTACTTACCTATTTAAGCGAGTGTTGCATTGCAAGCCTTCGAAAATAATCGTCAAGTCAATGGTTTTTATCAAACCATTCTTTCACTTGTATTCATTAGCGAATGAAGGTTAATAAAAGAAAAAGAGACGCACGTGTGCCCTCTGCCCGCACCCCAGATTTGTCGCTGCGACAGCGCCGCTGGTCTGATTTTAGCGCTCCGCCATCACTGAAGCCCCCTCACTCCCTCGGCTGACGTACCTTGTACCTTTGACCACTTCGTTTGCCCTGCCCACTTTGGCCTCATTTTCCATCCTGCAGTCCTCGCCTGGATCCCCTCATTCTCTACCACTGCAGGCCGCATTCAACATCGACACGAGAGCGCTTTCTGCGCTCTGGAGTATCGCTTCATATAATTGTCCATATATCACGACTTGCTCTTCACGACACGCATCGCGTACGCCTTCACCCATATGCATCATCACCGACATCTCTCTTCCATTTTATAGCCGCTGTCCATCATGCCGTCCGCTTCGCAATCTTCACAGCAATCCTTCACCATGAGCCAGCAGTCGCAGCAGGGGCGCCCCAATGCGTCTTTTCACGGCAGCTTTAACGTCAACCCCAGCGGCCCTCAGATCTACTCGGTGAGTGCTAGGCGCAGATTTACGCTCTTTCAACGCGCTCTTTACTGATGTGTAGTACAACAGGCTTCTTACTCCGGAGTCGACGTCTACGAAATGGAAGTGAACACTATCGCTGTAATGCGACGACGCCACGACTCTTGTCTAAATGCCACGCAAATTCTCAAGGTCGCCGGTGTTGACAAGGGCAAGCGAACGAAAATTCTCGAGAAAGAAATCCAAACTGGAGAGCACGAAAAAGTACAGGGTGGTTACGGAAAGTACCAGGGCACTTGGATCAATTTTGAGCGCGGTGTCGAAGTCTGTCGTCAATATGGTGTCGAAGAACTCCTCCGCCCCTTGCTCACTTACGACATGGGCCAGGATGGCGGCGTCGCTGGGCAAGGTGATTTTAACACGCCAACCAAGGAGCAGGCTATGGCTGCCCAAAGGAAGCGCATGTACAACTCGAACGCTGAGGGCAGGCCAAATGGCGTCAACGGCACATTTTTCAAAAATATCTCGAGCACCGCTTCGCACGCCGTAGCAGCAATCAGCAAGGCACGCTTCGACTCACCCAACCCTCGCAGCCGTAATGGCCCCTCCCATCCACCAAGCTTCAGCAGACAACCCTCGATGCAAAACGGCGACGAATTTCCTGGAAATTCCCAGCAGAGCTTTGCTTCCGAATACAGCCAGCATGTCGACTCTACTTACTCGACCCAGCAAACCAACGGCATACCTCCTATGCTCGAAGCTGAACCGCCTCGAAAGCGCCAACGGGTGAACATGACTCCTAGTGATAGTTTTGGAGGGTACGGTCAGAGCATGGAGGCTTATGCCAATGCGTTCCCCGGATCTCCGACTGAACCCAACGAGTCTTTCATGTACCCGCAGAGTGCCATGCAGGACCGATCACCCATTGAAGAGACTAACGGATCCCAAGCACCACTCCCATATGAGATGTCTCCAGACGCGGAGTCAAAACGGGGTCTGCTTATGGGTCTATTCATGGACTCTGCCACTCCCGATTCGTCAAAGCACGATATGCTTCGTACGCTGACGCAGAGTGAGCTTGATATGCCCATTGACTCGCAGAGTCACACTGCTCTGCACTGGGCCGCAACTCTTTCACGCATGCCGCTTCTGCGAGCGCTGATTACTGCTGGGGCTTCTCCATACCGCGTCAACGGTTCAGGCGAGACTCCTCTTATGCGCGCCTGTGTTGTAACGAATTCCATGGACCACACGTCATTCCCTGATCTGCTGGAGGTTCTTGGTGGGACCATTGAGGCCAGGGATCACAAAGGTCGTACGGTTCTGCATCACATTGCAGTCACAAGCGCTGTGAAGGGCCGAAATGCTGCTAGCCGCTACTACCTGGAGAGCCTGCTTGAATGGGTCGTACGCCAAGGCAGTGTGCCGAACAGCCAGAACACTGGCGTTAATGGTGCCGCTCCCAATGGCTCTCAAGTTACTATCCCTAAGATGGGTATTGCTCGATTCATGACTGAAATTGTCAATGCTCAAGATAGCTGTGGTGACACTGCTTTAAATATTGCTGCCAGAATCGGTAACAAGAGCATCGTTTCCCAGCTCCTTGAAGTTGGCGCTGACCCTAACATTGCCAACCGCGTAGGCCTGCGGCCAGTCGACTTTGGTATCGGTGTTGAGAACGCCGAGGAGAAGCAAAACGGCGAGCCCATGTCCGAGAAACCCAGCGCTCCTCCCGGTTCAAGCCAAAAGATGCGCGAGAGCAGTGACGATATCATTGGATCCATTACCCACCTCTTGGGCGAGACCAGCTCTGTATTCCAGCAGGAAATGAAAACAAAGCAAATCAACCTGGACTCGCTGCATGCGACACTACGCAACACCTCGACACAGCTGGGCGACGCGCGCCGCAAGATTGACCAGCTCTCGGCCTCTGTGACCAAGCAGCAGCTCGCCCGTCAAAAAGTGTCCAACCTGGCGCACGCCCGCGAAGACGAGCAGTCGCGTCTACTGAACGAGCAAGCCCGCTCAGTGCAGCCGAACCCGTCGTCATCGTGGGAAACGGAGCTGGGCGCAATGCTCGAGGCGGCCGAGGAGCACAACGCCGCGGGCGGCTTCGGCGCCGAGGGCATGCTGCCATCTGCCGCTGTTCTCACGGCGCGTATCCGCGCCATCGAGTCCCGCCGTGACGTTACCCGCAAGATGGTCCAGGCCCTCCAGGGCCGAAGCCGTGACGTCGAGGTCAAGTACCGCCGCGTCGTCGCCCTGTGTACAGGCGTCGCCGAGAAGGATGTCGATGCCGTCATTGACGGCCTACTCAAGGCTGTCGAGAGCGAACGCGAGGAGCTGGAGATTGACCGCGTCAGGCGCTTCCTAGGCGGTGTCGAGGGTGTCGTGCATTAGTAGTGCCACTACGCCTTGCAGTCCTTGTTCGCAGCTCTTTTTGCATCTGTACATTTCTCTTCCGCTTCTTCTACTGTCGGTATACTATGGTGTTGTAATTTTGGCGCATACTTTGTGAGGCTTTTTTTCTTTTGTTTCTCTGGAAACGGCGCTTGTCAGGGACATGATTTAGACCACGGGGGGGCATGTTGAAGAACTTTGTCCTTTTTTTTCTGGTCTGCCATCACATGCGCCCTACTTGTCTAGGTAGGTACTGCAGGCGACGCAGAAACAGGTGTTTTACTACTTTTACGGAGTTTTTAACTGTGTTGAGTCTCGCCGGTCACGGCCGGGCGTTCGTCTTTTGTTTGGCTCATATGCACATGTCACTTTTTGCACTGTTTGGCATTTCATCATGATAGTAATGCATATTTACAACGTCTCGAGTATTTAAAGTTTTGCTCTAATCCCCCCCCTTTGCAGTGTCTGCACAGGGCCTGCGCTGCTAGATTGCAGGTATATTGAGATGTAATAGTCCGTCTATAGATGGTAAATGAAACGGCAGGACGGGAAAACAACACAAAGAAAATAGTCCAGAGGCTTCCAGACATGCCTTGCTGTACACGCACCGTAAACGCCCACGCAATGCCAGAATAAAAAAGAATGTGAAAACATAAACTGCACCAGACGCCATAATCATGTGCTCTCCGCCTTCATGAAGCCACCCCGTCTCGGTATACCCCCTCCCACCGGGTTTCCACGCTCGTAATCTTGCTCTTCAGCGCCTGAATCTCCGCCTCGAGCTCATCCATGTTGCGATTAAGCGCTGAAATCTCCTCAAAGCGGCGCGCGCGGGTGGCTGCCCGCAGCATCTCCTCGACCATGAAGCGCTGCTCCTCGAGGACGGCGAGCCCCTCGCGCAGGCCCCTTTCCTCCGTCTCTAGCTGGCTCACGACCGTGCTCACCTCGCTGGCGGCCTGCGAGGCCGTGTCGGACTCGGCGAGCTCCGTGTGGCGCAGGCCCGAGGATGCCGAATGCACCGACAGGTGGTGCGCGGAGCGCCCGGAGCGCGACGAAGCCGACGACTGGTTGCGTAGGAGCTGGGGTAGGCTCTTGAGCGGCAGCATATTCGTGTGCAGGAAGCCACTCGCATACATGTAAATGGCTGCTTGTAGTCGTTGCTGTGTTGGGCTCTGGGTTGGCAGGTCCCTGATGCGCTTCGCGGCGATACCGTATTTTCCAAAACTGTCAATGAGACGTTTTCGGATCTTGCCTGCTTCCTGGATTTGTGCTCGCGTGGGCGGTGGCTTAGTCAAGTCGACTTCACCGTTCTCTAGCTTTTCCGGCTGTAGTGCCAGTAGAACGCGATGGAAGGAGGGCAGTAGCTGACGAATGCCTCGCTCGAATTGTTGTAGTGTTTCATACGCTCGCTGATCTGTGGGCTTCAATTCCAGAGAGGCGCTAAAGTCCCTACCGGAAAATATTGTGTGGTTGCAGTCCTGGCACATGCGGATGTTGATCTTGACAAGGTCGGTTGCGGGACGCGGTTTTTCTGTAGGTTGATGTGAGGCTGCACTTGTTAGGACTATATTTCTCGGTGCGTGATCATGTTAAATATAACTATACTTACGTGGTGCAACATCGAGACCGACTTCAAACGAGCAGCCCGTTTGTAAGTCTGCACATACCACTCGGCCGCAGATGCGACAGTGATGTCTTCTGAATGTCCAACTGCCGAACTCTTGTTGACAGAATGGACACTTTGAAACGGATTCATCGTCCTCCCAAGGTACGACAGACTGTTCGATCGCTTTTCGTTGATTATTTTGCCCTGTCAGTTGGGTGACTGGGGATAGCAGCGAGCCGTTTGGCTTATCGGGTGAATCAACCAACAATCTCGTTAGCTTTGTTAACCGCTTCTCGAGTCGCGAGACTTCGAGCTTTTGGCGTTCAACACGTTTTCGGCGAGTTTCCATAAATGCGCTTGTGTGATCTATCGAGACGCCTGTGTGGTCGTTGTACCCATCCCTTGACTTGTAGCAGGTTTCGCACACACGAGCCCAGACGCCCCGAACAGGTTCGCTGTTGGCGCTTCGACTTAGTTTCATTTGGTACATCGTATGTTCTTCGCAAAATAATCGGCCGCAATTTCGGCAGTTTATGTTGCCGTTGATAGGGCCGAGGTTCTTTCCGCAGGTAGGGTCGGTGCACCTGTCATGACCTGTTGGTCGCTGCCAATGGTGCCTGGTGATGAGCTCCTCCGGATCGATATGGTATTCTTGCGATTTCCCGGGAGCATGCGATGAGACGTGCGGATGTGGCTGAGGCGCCTCGTTTGGTTCAAAAACCTCCAAGCCGCGAAGCTTTTGGTTGATCAGGGAGAGCGGTTGAAAGCGCTTCGCCTTTTGCACCTGCTTGTCGAACCACGTCTTTACTTCGTCTTGCTCCTCGGCGGGTAGTTCCTGGTGATTGTCGTCAATGTGTCGATTGAGCTGCAATAGAGTGACCTGGAACAATGAAAATGTGAGCACAAGGTCATCTAGTCAGAACGCCGAGCCATACCATCTCCTCGCTACAGATGGGACAAACGAGCGCTCCATCACTGGATAGGCCAGCCTTGGGCTGTGCGCCGACGCTGATGCTGGATCCGATATCCCGACCAATACCCGTCAAACTGCCGCTCATAGACGGCGACAGCGGCGATGAGCTAATCGAGATGGTGCTCTCGGACGGTGCCAACGGGCTGGGGGCACGAGAACGAGGGGCAGCGGGTGGCGGCGCAAGGCCCTTGCCGCTGCCTAGGATGCGACCGCCTCCGAGCTTCCGACCAGACATTGCAGGTCGATGTTGGCTTATTAGAAGTGAGTTTTTGGTGTTTATGCCCGCCAGTGCAGCAACCCGAGACGACCTTTGGTGTTCGAGGTGCCTCTGGGGCTGTTGGCATCCAGATGTGCGTAATGAATGACCAAGGGTGGGATGACGATGGCAGGTGGACAACAGCTGTGGCTAACTAGCAGAACTGGGTAAGTGGCTTGGTGGGACTGAGGGAACACGGTGTGGAGCGGCGTCGAACGTTGACAAGTCAATGGAAGCCGACAATGGGAATTCATGCATGAGTAGATGTTAAAGTACCTAATTAGATCATTTCGACGACAGCGACAGTTTCAAGTCTCACCCTCACATTGTTTCTGCAGTCCCAGATGGCCAGCAGTTCCTAACTTATTAAAGCTGAGTGAGACCCCAAGTTCTTCAGCAGCTAAGTCCACTAATCGCCCGCTATAAGTCTGCCGGATGCTCGGTGCAGCGACCGTTTGGTAGGCGGGCTGCCCCCTGCTAGCGCCTTATCGCGCCTTATCGGAGCTTGACTGACACCTTGAATCGATCCGACGCCGGCTCATTTCTGCCCATCTTGATCTTTCACAACCCAATCTTGCAAACCCGCCCACCATGCCCAAATCGTTTCCAGAGCCGCAACCAGGAGGCAGCCTCATTCTCGCGTGGCAGGTCAAGGACAAGAACGTTTTAGTAGTCGGCGGCGGCGAGGTACGCCACTCCCCAATCCAAACCCCTTGACAAAGTACAGTCAGTCTAAAGCTAACGACAACAGGTCGCTGCAGGTCGCATTCTCAACTGCCTAAATGCCGACGCCAACGTGACTGTCGTGTGCCCTGCCGCCGGCCTCAACAAAGAAGTCGCCCATCGAGTTGCAGAGAAACAAATCACACACATCGACCGAGTCTTTGAACCCTCCGATCTCGACAATGCAGTCATGGTCCTGGTCGCCATTGACGACCCAGATGCCTCCACCGTCATCTGGAAGCTGTGCAAGGAGAAGAAGATTCCTGCCAATATCGCAGATGTCCCGCCGGAATGCGACTTTTACTTTGGAAGCGTCCACAGAGACGGCCCCCTACAAATCATGGTCAGCACCAATGGTCGTGGACCTCGGCTTGCTGCCTCCATCCGCCGCTTTATTGCCAGCAAGCTCCCCAACAACGCAGGTACTGCCATCGATGTCATTGGTGAACTGCGAATCAAGCTGCGCAAAGTTGCCCCCAAAGTGGAAGATGGCCCAAAGAGGATGCGCTGGTGAGTCGCTCTTTCGCAACTTTTCTTTTTCTCTCGTGCTAGAGACGAAATCGGCTAACCTGATTTGACGATAGGATGTCCAAAGTGAGCGACACATACAAGTGGGAAGAAATGTGCCAGATGACACACGAAGATATGGAAAACTTGCTTTTGTTTTATCCCGCCAACAAAGCTCCGTCCATGGACATCGTCAAGTCGCTCCGCGATGTGCGCGACGTTGAGGCGCTCGACGTCTTCGAAGGGTCGTTTGGATTTAGCATTGGCGTCTGACCAGCTCTCTGCTGCACATGAGAGCGAGTGTGCTTACAGCGTGCTCCCGAAAATGTTTTGACTATATGACCAGTGAATCCGAAAAATTGTATATATTGTATAATAAAACAAGCACAGACTATAAGACTAACTCATTCTGACCGATGTTGGGATGCCTAATATTTGTCGCCGATGATTAGTCAGCCCCACCCTGCGCAAAACACGGTTCATGCATGTACACATTGAAGTTCAGGCACGCGCCAAACGCCGAAGGAAGATCATGGCACTCAGGTAGCCAGCATTCATAAAGTCCACGCGTCAATTCTGCCACACTGGCTGGAAAAATATAACGATCTTTTATTGGCACCGTACGTGTGGTGCACCATGGCGGATCAGGATGTTTCCACCTCGGATACCTTCTACAGCGAGAGCCCAATCGTCGACGACGTGATACCGCCTTTTTTTAACACTACATTCTCAACACATCGAGTATCGCCGCTTTTTACTGGGGCGCAACCTCTGGACCAGCCTCGGCTTGACGTACTCGCCCACCGCCTACGGGATACTCTTGTCGGGGACGTTGTTCGTGGCATTCAAATCGGGCTGGAGTCTCTTGAAACACCCGCTGGACAAGTCGGGCCGCTGCGTTATGTAAAATTTCGCTGGTTTTCGCCCGGCGACGTTCTTGGTGATCGAGATGTTCTTGACGACGCTCCTGACCGCGCGCGAGGGGATGCTGGTGATGGCGCCGACAAGGGTCTCTGGGTAGAAATCCGGCACGAGAATGCGGCCTACGTCGCACTCCTCCTCCCTGGATATACGACACAACAGCAACTCTCTTCGGTCAAGCCGTCAGACTGGGCTATGCGTCCTGGAAGGGCGGCCACCGACAATGTGCTCGATGAAGCAAGATTCCTTCACCTGCCCTTACTTTTGCTACGCATGCCACAAGCGCTCAAGCACGTTATTGGCGACTGGCTCTCGACGACATTTGATTGCCGCGTGAGCAAGCTGTCGCTCGGAACAAAAACATTGGTCAACATATGGGAGGGATGGATAGAGACTATGGGCTTGTCGAACAAGGGACCCGACTTTGTCGTCACACTGGCTTTCAACGCGCCGCTTCGCGACGGCGACGGCGGTCTCAACTCGGATTCTGATTCGGACGCGGAGGAGACAATGGAGCCAGGCCTTCGAAATATGAGTGTGGCGGTTCCGCCACAGGATCTTCGCCGCTTCCTGCGTACAGGCGAAAGGCTGCGGCCGGAGAATAGCGGCACACCGGCCCTCTGGGAAAAGGATGCGCGTGAACGCCGGCGCTTGGCCGGCGGAAACATGGATGACGGATGGGCCTGGAGAAGCGCGACGAGCGCGGGCGATCAGCCCTTCACGGCGGCGCTGGGGAGATATCTGCAGCACCACCTCTCGCTGAACATGTTCCATCCCAGCGTGCGCATTGTACAGATTTCGTGCGGCGGATTTGTGCTTGCGCAGTCGCGGCTCAAAATTTTACGTCGTGGAGACCTGACGGATGATTTGTCGCGGGCGGCGTGGATGTTTGCGACCCAGCTCGGTGGAAGGATACGCGGAGACGAGCTGCCGTCTGTGATTCCGGCGGCTGTACCTTGAATAAGGTTGGATCGGGAGTAGTTCCAGCGACAACGAACTCCGACAGGACGCCATCTCCGCATCGCCCGAAACGAAAAGGCCAAGCCGCTGCCCGCGCCACGAAGACAACTGATGACCTCAGTACAGCAGTGCTCAGGTTCTTCGCGTCCCTCTGCCACCTTCTTGGTCCCGCAACCCCAGGTATACTGAGCCGACCTACTACACCGGGGTTTTCACATTTCTCAATTTCTGTCAGCTGTCTCGCATGCGTGAAGATTTTCTGCAGCTGCTGCAGGAATACATACACCCTGCGCTGCGGACTTTTCCCCAACCACGAGTGTGGCACAATTCCGCACTACACCCATGCATGCCACTGGGGTTAGCGTAAGCTAAATACAGTATCGCCCCCAGCAAATGCAGACAAGCTCGTGCAGATTTGTCGACACCGCATCATCCGAAAGCATTGTCGGATGTGCATTGTCCCCAACAGTGCCCCAAAAAATCCACGCAATACAAGCAACGACTTGTCCGTCTCTTTTCGACAATGAAGGCCGTCCTATTTGGAGCCACGGGTCTTGTGGGGTCCGAGGTTCTTAATGCCTGCATCGCCACCGACAAAATCACCAAAGTTTATGTTGTGACTAGGCGGGCGCTAGAAGATGGCCGTCAAAAAGACCCCAAGGTAGAGGTCATTATGCACTCTGACTTTGCGCAGTACCCCCTTGAGCTACTGGACAAACTTCGGGGCGTCGAGCTATGTCTCTGGTACGTCGCTTAGGAAAAGCCGCCGCCCCGCGCTTGTGATTCCACCTTGCACTCCAGGCCCGCCACTAACATTTCGGCTTTCCTTAGGGCAATCGGGGGCATGTTGTCAAAATTCAACAATGACAAGAAGCTTGCGTACGCCGCCAATGTGACCTTCCCATGCGCAGCAGCTACCGCCTTTGCCTCGCACCTCGTCGGCGACGCGCCCTCGAGCAGGATCCGCTTCGTCTTCTGCAGCGGCAAGTTTACCGAGCTGGACCCCCGCAAGCCCCTATGGTTCCTGGCCGACTCGCGCCGCTTGAAGGGCGAGACGGAGGCTTTTCTGCAGAAGCTAGCCGGTCAGCATCCGGGCACGTTTGAGGCGTACGCCGTACGCCCAGGCCTGGTCATTCCGAGGAACCCACCGCTGACGATCCGCCTCACAGCGGCGGTTTCGCCAGGCATCACCGCGCAGCAAACTGGCGCTGTTATGGTCAAGGTTGGGACGGAGGGATGGAAGGGGGCGGTGCTGGAACAGGACGACATGCTAGCCATTCACTAGGCAGGGCACAAGGTTTCGTCTTCGCTTCGGACTACTGGCTACCTTGGCGAGAGACTTCGCGGCCGCTGGGACTCCTGCTTCCGATATTATCTGAGGGTCACGATTTATGATGACCAAATTATATTCATGTCTCTCCTTCGGAAAGAATGAAAACTCTATATTTCATTGTCTGCGGGCGACGGGACGCTCTATCTGAAGAGAGTTTGCTACGCCACGTTGGCAGTGCCTAGTTTTTGTGAATATATTCGCAAACCTTGTCATAGGGCCTAGAGTAGCACTAAAAAGCCACACTATATTGTTCCTTTCTTCTTTTCTTCTTCTTTTCTTCTTTTTCTCTTCTCGTTCCACACACTCTCAGACACATCCAGACAGACTTGCCCTCTCCTCTCCTCCGTCAAAAGAGCTTCACCCCTGTTCACGAGCCTGTTCTCTGGGCGGCTCCCCAATATCCTGGATATCCTGCCCCAATGAATGGTGTGAACGACTTGGAACTCAGTCTGCGTGCCAACTCTCGCCAGCCGTCGACCACCAGACTCGCTGCCACGTCCTCGGAGCCCGTCAACAACGCCACCGTCAAGGCCCCCAGAGGGGAACGCTACAAAGGCTTATTGGTCTGCCTCTTCGTCGTCGCCTTGATCCTCAGTGTCGTCGTCAACATTCTCTACGCCGCGCAACATTACAAGTGGCACGCGGGTCGCTGCGAGTAAGTCAGAAAACCCTTGTTGCCTTTTTGAATCTGCTTGTTCCGGCTTTACGGCCTTGCTGTGCTCAAACTTGTACTTGAGGAACACAGCCAGGTATATCTAGAAATCGTGTGCGCAAGTCTCTGAGCATCATCACTCTTTCTTTCTTGTTTGCCTTGTGGCTACTGCTAATCTTGGTGCCTCCGCAGACATATTCCGCAAGTACCTTGCAAACCTTGCAAGGACCAACCGAACCCTCAGCTGTCCTAAACTACCCTCTTCTTCCTCTTTAATGGTCCCGTTTACATTTGACGGTCTTGCTTTTGATCAAGGTTAGTGCGTTTCTTCATATCTGCAGCCCCCCCCCCCCCCAGGATTTGGATACTCTTTTGCGCGTCCTTGTATACTAACCCTTTTGGCAGGATTTGGTTCCTTCGTATCAACCGGCGGATACCCGAAAGGAGTCTTTCCCCCGAACACATTTTCCAGCGGCGGCGGTGCCCTTCTCCTTACCCAGCCCAACGCGGATAGTTCCGACGACGCCCCAGTCATGTCTCGCTTTGTCATCGACTGCGTCGTCGCCGGCATATTCGGCTCCCTCTTTGCGGGCTTTCTGCTCTACTGGCTGTGCCTGCTGAGCTGGGACCTTTTTAAACAGCTGGCCAAAGTGTGCCGCGCGTGGCGGCGCCGGCACTTTGGCGGCGGCTGGGGCGAGATTCAAGACCCTTGGCCGGCCTCGCGCGAGGCGGCGGCGGCCGACGACTTTGAGCTGCGCGGGCCCGTCGAGAGCCGGTACCCGGCGCACGACCAGATCTACTGGCGCAACAAGGTCCTGGAGCGGCTCGGGCAGCAGCCGAGCAAGGCTGGCCTGTCGCCCGAGTGCGAGGGCCTCCGCCGGCCCGAGCTGGTGGTCACAAAGGATGGCCACGACCGATACGCCGGACATATGGTCTAGCTTGGAGGCCATCTTGCTGGCTCTTCATGGCATCCCGTATTTGTTTAGTATGTGACATGTGCACATTCTAGCGACATGGGCAACTAACAACGGGCAGGTAACAACGGGCAAGACCCGGACAGATGCGAATAACTTGGGCTTGCGATTTTAAATGTTGGTCGTTTGGCGTTTTGGTATATGGCATGCTTGGGTTTGTTTACTTTTTTTTTGCATGTCCTCCTTTATGGAGTCGTTTTTTTTTTTTTGCGATGGTATTTTGTTTCGCTGGTTAATTCTCCCTTTGATTTTTTTTTATTCCTGGCATTCCTCACATGTTCATTACGTTCAAGTACCAGTCCGCGTTTCTGTGCATCCCATCTACACTGGCCTCTTGTCTCTGCTGCCGGCTGAAACCCTGCCATCCTACTGCGCGACAAAACAATGTCGTCATTACACTTTACCTGATGCGATTAATGCTGGATATTGAGCAAATGTGCCTTTCACCATGTCCCTGTTTTTTTCTTCGAAGTATTATGATACCCTTATTATTTAAACTAGCAGATACACTTTCTATTTTTAGCTACCCGATTTTCCACTCTGCGCCACATGCCGCCCGGCGGACGCTGAACTTGCCCAGCGCTTTCGCCCTTTTCGGCTGACAGGAATGGAATTTTTCCGACATAATTGGGCCACGCACGATTCAAGTTTCAATAGGCTGCTCAGAGTTTCTCCAGGCTGCATGGTCGATCGGCAGGACCCCTAGTTCGGCGAAACGCGGCGCCGGGCCGGGGCGGCGGCCTCTTGGCATCCGCCCGACTTTGATCCCCCGCGTCGCACCAGAAGATGATCTGACATTTCTCAGCCGGGCTAACAAAGGCTGAGATATGCTATACAAGAAAAGGGAATAGTCTAGTCAAGTTGGCCCCGGCAAGTGTCAGCGCTGCCCGGCACTTCTGGGGAGTTGGCAGCAGGTCCTGCTCCACCAGTAAGCCGGAAACTGCATGTTCTGGCAAGTCTGCGCAAGTGCGAGGCCTAGTCCTTGGCGTAAGATTTCTCGATCCACCCCATGGCAAGCTTTGACAGCCTTGAAATCTCATTCGTGGAAAGTTGATTCATGTGCTCGGCCCGGGGGGCGGAGGGCTGAGTTGGAGAGCGGTCGCTCGGGGTGAGATGCGACCTGCCGGTATTCGTTAGATCATGTTCGTTGAATTATAGCCATTGTACCTACAGAGTTGATATCTATCGCATAAAAAGAGGTCAAGTCGCCTGCCTCTTCCCCCGCTCAAGTGTACCTTTGTCCTCCTCCTTACCAGACTGAATTCCATCATGGCCTCTCTTCGCTCCGCCCTCCTTCTCTGCCTCGCCGGTCTCGCAACCGCCCGCGACGTGCCCTCCAACGTGCGCGACTTTTACAACAGCGTCAGGGGCAAGGGCCAGTGCGGCAACAAGCTCAAGTCGGGCTTCCACAGCATCGACGGCGACGATGGCTGTACGTTGTTGTTGTCCCCCTCATCTTGACCCGTTACGGCACGTTGACACTGACTTGGCAAACAAAATTAGCCTTTTCCTACTGCGGCGACCACATGACCGACTACCGCGTGCTGTACCTCCAGGGCAAGAGCGGCAACCTGGTCAACATGGACATTGACTGCGACGGCATCCAGCACGGCCCCGCCGACGACGGCCGCTGCGGCAGCTCCGGCGACACCCAGTCCGTCACCTCGTTCCAGAGCACCGTCCAGGGCTACGGCACCGGCCAGCGGGACCTCGACGCCTTTATCCACCCGTACGTCGTCTTTGGCAACGAGGGCTCGCGCAGCGGCTACCCCAACTTTCGTCCGCAAGACTACGGCGTCGAGCCGCTGTCCGTCATGGCCGTCGTCTGCAACAACAAGCTGGTAAGCCGGGGGGGTTTGATTCCTTCTTGAAACAAACACGCGTTGGATTCCGGTTGGCTAACACTGTGTGTGTTGTAGATTTACGGCATCTGGGGCGACACCAACGGTGACGACGGCCCGCAGGCCATGGTCGGCGAGGCCGCCATCTCCCTCGCCACCGCGTGCTACGGCACGTCGGTCAACGGCAACAGCGGGCACGACGACAACGACGTGCTCTACATTGCGTTTCCCGGCCCCGACGCCGTGCCCGGCAAGAGCGGCGCCAAGTGGCGCGCCGCCAGCTACGCCGAGTTTGCGAGCAGCATCGCGAGTCTCGGCGACAAGCTCATCCAGCGCATCGGCGGCGGCGGCGGCGATCCGCCTCCGACTGGTGGCAACTGCTCGTGGCAGGGCCACTGCGAGGGCGCCCGCTGCAAGGATGAGAATGACTGCTCGGATGAACTGGTCTGCAAGTCTGGCAAGTGTGCGCGTGGTTAAAACGAAAAAGATTCCATCATGTAAACCGAAAACAAAATGGAACTGTACTTGTGGAAAGAGACGCCGTTGACGAGCCCGTAACATGCCAAAATTGTATATACCAAAGTGTGGCGAGCTCAAGACATGCCAGACTGTATATATGCCAGAGTTGTAGCGAGCCCATGACATGCCAAAACTGTACATCTCAATGTAGCACTTGCTCTATATCTCATGACCCATCCACCTCTTCTTCTACCCTGCTTTTTTCCTTTATTTTTTCGTCTACGATTTACTCTCCACCATGGTGATCCTGCCCTCCACCGTCGGGGCAATCAAGCGCGTCCAGTCCACCAAGCAGCCGCCGTCGCCGGCCGGCTCGCAGACAGACGACGTGATGCCGGCCTTGCGCGTCCAGCGCGCCCAAAACTTGCGCAGGAGCAGAATCTCGATATCCATCTCATTGTCCGGGTCGGCGCCGACGTCGGGCTCCGCCGCCTGCGGCGGCGCCCCGTCCGCGACGCCGTCTTCCGCGAGCTCGTGCAGCCCCCGGTCGTCCTCGTCGTCGTCGTCGTGCGGCGTCTTGCTGTGGCCGAGCCGGGCCAGGATGAAGTCGTGCCAGCTGTCGGTCCGGTCCGCGTCGCTCAGGTGGGAGCTCTCGCGCGACAGCGTCAGGCTCCGCTCGAGGTCGTCCGACGGCGCGAGCGCCCGCGCCTGCGTCGTGTTGCTCTTGAGCTTGGACGCCACCGTCTCCCAGTGCTCCGAGAGCTTCCGCCACTTGCCGACGGTGCGCAGGGCCATGAAGTACTGGCGCAGCATGGTGCTGATGAGGATGCCGTTTTCCTCGTCTACAAGCTCTTCCGCCTGGCCGCCTTCGGATTGCACGAGCAAGCTGTCAAACCCGTCTGGTCGGCCCGGTTAGTTCTTGTCTGAACGAGCGATGCAATGCACCATCGTTAACCACATACCTTTTCCTCGGCCCATGTATCCCCTTGTCGCGAGCAGGTATTTCCTGTCGAGCTCCAGCGGCTTCCCGCCCAGTTCGAGAGACAGCACGCGCTTGTTCCTCTCCCGCGCGGGGTCAAACGAAAAGACAATGTTGGACACCTGCGGGAAGCGACCCTCCTGCGCCGGGTACGTGGACACGCCGTTCTCGATGGCGTCCCAGATGGCCTGGCCCGTGACGCGCAGCAGCACGACGGGGTCCTCAAAGGGGAAGCACGTCGTCACGTCCTTGATGCGCACGGCGCCGGGCGGGTAGATTTGGTCGCCGCGGATGGTGCCGGCCGCCATGATGCAGCAGTCGGCGTGGTAGTGCTGCCGCATAATGTCGCAGACAAAGTTGCCAATGTTGGACTCCTTGGTGCGCACCGTGCTGAAGCGCGCGTCCAGCGGCATGGCGCACCACCCGATGGGCTTGGCCAGCGACTTCTTCAGGTCCGCCGTCAGGTTCGCGACCAGCTTCGTCGAGGGATAGTGCTCCTTGACCTGGGACGTCACGTCGCGCCTCCAAATGTCAAAGTCCCACTTGTCTGCGTGCTCTCTGCGCCGGCGCGCCTCAATGTAGCTGAGGTTCTTGAAGTCGGTGCCTGAACGGAGCACGTGCGTTCCGCGGACGAGCTGGTGGTTGTAAAAGTGGTCGTGGCCGCCGAGGATGATGTCGATGAGGCCGTCCGTCTGCTCGGCCAGCTTGACGTCGTTGGGCTCGCGCATGTGGCTGAGGCAGATGATGATCTCCGCGCCGTCGGCCCTGAGCCGGGGGATGAGCTCCTTTGCGGTGGCGCTGGCGGATTTGTAGATGAGATTGGGGGGCAGGCTGTTGATGGTGGCCAGCCACTCGCGCTCGCCGAGGCCGATGAGGCCGATCTTGACGCCGTTGGACGAGGTCAGCATGTGCGTCGGCTTGGCATTTCCGAGAGGCACGTCCTGGCCGAGCGCGGGGTCCAGCACATTGGCGATGAGCCAGGGGAACTTGCATTTTTCTGCCAGGGCCTCAAACTGCTTCACACCAAAGTCAAAGTCGTGATTCTTTCCATTCACGTTAGCATTTCTGAGCGCAGAGGCCGCCGTCATGCGCAGGTGCACTCACTCCCACACAAGCCACATCAGTGCCAATTGCGTTGAGGACCGGGACCATGTGCTTTCCTGAGAAGCAATTTTTTTTGTCAGAATTTTGAAATGTGTCGGGCATTCTGCCGTGGGTATTCCGACGTACCCTTGGTAACGCTGCTTTCGAGACTAGGATTGAACGCGTCCCCGGAAAAGAGGGTGATGAGCTTGGACTGGCCGGCAAACTGGCTGCCGTTGCGGTACTCCTTGCACAGGGTCATGAACCGGGGAAACCCCCCGACCGGTTCGGCGCTGGAGGGATCGACATGGTACACGTCGTTGTAGTGCAGTATCCGGAGATCCGGCGTGCCATCGTCGGCGCGGCCTGACGAGTAGGTCACCTGGGGCTCCGCGGTGGGCTGCGGCCTTGCCATTGTGTTTGGGTGAGATGTCTGCAGCAGCCGATGTCAGGATCAGGTCGGTTTCGCGAATGGACGCGCGAGGTGGACTTGTCGCGTGCTCTCTTGTTCTTTGTTGGCATGGATGGGATCGTGCGTGCCTAGCACAGCCCACGACGAAAGCGGAGGCCTCGGTACCAAGCACGTCTCGCACCAGGGTGACAAAATCAACCGCTAGTCACGAATATGATGTGTTCAAGATTTATTCTTACTACCATCACTCCCCTGATATTTGTGAATTTTTGTTCGTTTTTTATATTTCCCTATTTGTTTGTTCCTTTGTATCTCAGGTGGTGCCTACCTGGCAAGCCCTGCTCTGGTCTGGTACTCTATTTCCCCCGCATTACATCCAGCGTCCCCACATAGTATTACAGCAAGGATGCGCCTGGAGATAATTTCAGATACTATGTTCTACTTGGGTAGACAGCTGGACAGTATATGCCTCGACATTCTTTTTTTAAATTCTGTATATTCGTCGTCCTGGTTGACGCGTGATGTGGTCGTTGGATGCAAACAGCAATACCAGGAGCTGTCTTCAGCCAATGGCGCGGAGATCTTTACGAATACGGAGATGGGCCAGTTGACTCGCAACCATGACCACCTTCATGCAAACAAGTCCGAGATGCCGGATGTCTTCTTTAGCCGATAAGGGCTACTTATTTATTTCGAATTTCGCATCTCACCTCCTTCTCTTGACGCTTTTTCCAAATTTCCCCATGACACGTGCATGTGTATGTAATCCATACATACGTCATAGCCAGCAGGCTTGGTAAAAGCACAAGAGTAGGCCTTCCGTTTCTCCATGCATTTCCAATGCCGGAAAAACTGATGACAAGTCAAATTCCTAATGCTGAACCAAAAGGATGCTGCCGTAACAAATACTCACCCCTCATCTAATAATATGCCGTTTACAAACTTCCGTGCCTAATTATACCAATCCGACCGAGTGTCATGCTTGCCACCCTAGACAAAGTCGTGTCCTCAACAACCCCCCACAGCCAAATATTTAAAACCCAAAAAAATACTGCGATACACATCTATCAATTTTCGAGATGATGCTCGTTCCTAGTCGTTACATGGCGGCTTTGCCCCTTGACTCAAATGGTAGCAGAATAACAATGACTCCTGCGGCAAGGAATAGAGCGCCGCTGGTATATACAGGAGCCGAGGTTTGGAGGTTTGCAAACATGACAATGATGGGCTGGATCAGGTTAGACAAGGCACCGAGAGGAAATTGATCGTGGAGGGTTATACTTACGGCCATGATGCCAAATACGCGGTTGCAAATGGCAGCCAGTGCGTTGCCCGTACCACGCTGTGGCGTGGGGAAAATCTCGGGCGTGTAGCCGTACAAAACAGCGTACATGACGTTGCTGCAAAAGTTGAAGGCGCAATTCCAGCCAAGCAGCGCTTCGCTTGTCTTGGCCGTCGTCGAACAGTACAGGAAAACGCCGGTAAGCGCTGTGAAGATGGACAGCGTGCCCTTGCGACCAAGACGAGGCAGTTCCACGAGGAGGCCGCCGATCAAGGCGCCCGGCACACCGAGTGTAGAAATGATGAGTGTGTTGCGATAGGTGAGATAGGTGCTGCCATCACCAAAGTCGGCACCGCGGGAGTCCTGGATATAAGGCAGGAAGGCGTTGTAGAGCGGGAATGCAAGGCCGATGAGTGCCCACAGTAGCATGATCAACGAGGTGCTCAGGGCTAGGCTTCTGGTGGAGAAGAGCGTCTTAATCTTCTTGGTATCCAGCTTCTGCAAGTGCCTGCGAACGACAGCGGCGGTATCTGTCTGCGCGACGTAGCTCTCGGGCTCGCAGGCGCGGAGGTCTTCAACCGTGAGGGTGCTCGTCTTTCCGTTGATACGGGCGACCTCGTGCACGACTCGAACAGCGTCCTCGTCGCGGCCCTTGCCTATGAGATACTTGGGCGACTCATGCAGCTTAAACAGAAGGAAACGCGCCAAGAACATAATCATGGTCAGGCCACCGACGGCGATGAGAAAGTAGCGCCAGCCCATGTTGTCCTGGCGGCGGCACACGGTGGCATCCTGGGGACAGGTCAGGTTGCCGAGGAGCGGCCAGGCAATCAGGTTGCAGACGACCTGGGCAACGGCCCAGTCGATGGACAGCACCGTCAGCAGGTACTGGTGCGACTGAGGCAGGAACTCGAGAAAGATGGCCGAGTCGACGGGCAGGTTGCCGCCGACGCCAAAGGACCAGAGGGCGTTGAAGACACCAATGGCGGCAAAGCTGGGCGCGCTGGCCGACACGAGGCCCCAAAAGGCTGTGAGGCCGAGCGTGAGGTTAAAGGCCCATTTGCGGCCGAATATGTCGCAGCCAAAGCCCCAAAAAGCAGCGCCGGCGAGGAGGCCAATGTTTTGGGCGAGGACGAGTAGCGGCGGGCGCGTGGGCAGGAACTCGTTGGCGATGGGCTTGAGGATGAGCGACGTGACGACGGGCCAGAGGTTGTCGCTAGCCCAGCCGAACCCGACGACGATGAAGAGCTGCCATTGGTACCATCCCATGCCGATGTCTTGCACCTGTTGGATGGGGACGCTTGCATTAGTATCTTTGTGGGTGCTATTTTTGCGGCGCCCGTAGCGACTAGGTTATGCGGTCGCAACGTACCGCGCGATTGAGAATCTTGGCCTTGGCCTCGTACACAGGATCTAGTGAGCCCTTGGAAATTACTGTGTCATCGTTGCTGATATCAACGCTTCCATAGTCTGCTTGTCTGCGCTCTGCGACAGAGGCATCGGACGAATCTTGTTCACCCCCCATGTCTGCTAGTATCGCCGGCTCTATGACGTGGTGTATACCCCCCATGTCTGCTAGTATCGCCGGCTCTATGACGTGGTGTATGATGAGGACTGGTTTTCGTTGCTGAGGAAGCTACCACGGCAGGTGAGGATGGTCAGGTCGGGCACGTTGGAGCAAGAGCGAAGCCGCAGCTAGGCACAGGTTTGAATATATATTCTTCGGGGTCGGGCAATCGAACTATCACTGCATCTGGCTTGGCACCGTGGCAAACGTGGTTCATGGGCTCTGGCCCCCTCTTTTCCTCTTTTCCATGCAACCATGTCAACGGTCAGGCCGACGAGCTCTGGTTCTGATTCGTACAGTGCTGGTACACAGGCTCCTACAGGAAAACACACCTACCTTTTGGATATTGCGCCATCGGTGAGATGTTGTGGTGATTGGCCCGGTAGCGTACCATTGCTGTGCAGCTGTCGGATGGGGACGCTTGCATTCGTATCTTGACCATTTCGGGCACTGGCGCCTGCGGCACGGAGACACTAATGTTAGCAACTTTGTAGCAGGGCCGGTTGTGGAGATTTTTAGCCGAGCTGATGAAGACAAATTCAGAGTTGGAGGCTCGAGCAATTTCTTTTTTGTTGTTTCGCCGATAGCTGCTGATGGTATCAGGTATCAACAGCTGATGTGGAGTTTGACACTGGCTAGCATTACCGTCGTAGCAATTAGGTAAGGTACCTGGTACCTACCTCGTGGAGGGTTCGTGCAGCCTTGGCCCTAATAATGCCCAGATTTCCATGTCCTGTTCACAAGGCCATCTTCAGCGCCTCTTTGGTGCACAAGTGCAGATCCTATCCACTGAGTACACCAGATCCACTGACAGCGGGAGGCTGACAAGAGATTCTGCAGTGCTACTTGCTGTTATAAGCACATGATCTGAATATTTGATATGGTTTGGGATATTTGCCATCCAGTTTCACGGTTTCCAGTTGACCATCTTCTAGAGCGACTTGTTGTCAAAACAGTGAAAAATTGTCATCTAACTGAAAAGTATAGCCACAAGCACGTCATTTGCTTTGCTTGATTCCAAAGGCTCCGACCCGACTAGCTCAGCCACAGAACTTATAACAATAAGCCTAGGTCAATGCAGCCGTCCGCTCCCGGCCAACGCTATCGAACGACCAGCTAGTATGTATGTATGTATGTATGTATTGCTGTTTTACGTCGTACCATCCCTGAAAAGGGCAAATGACGCCTGCGGGGACCTTTACCGGCCCATCCAACAGGTCTCGTGAGGCTTTCGCTGGTTTATCGTGGGGTTGGTAAAAGGCCGCTCGGGGGCCAGCAACACGTTAGGGACTAGGGGAGACTCAAGAAGGAGCATAGTAAGGTGGTTGCCTTAGACATATCTCGCTAAAAAACAAAGAGTCCCTAGCCAATCTCGCGTACTCAAGCCATCCAGCACCTATAGTTCTATCAATATAGCTATATTAACTAAACCAGGGAGGCGCTATCTTCCCCTATATCTTTCTATAATAAAAGATATACCCTAAGGTCTTTCTCCTATTATAGCTATATATAAGTATAGTATTAGTATAGTAAAAGCATTTATAATAAAAAGTAAAATCTCTATAGTCTATCTAGGCTATAAAGAGGTAATAGAGTTTAAGGTAAATTAATACCTTTAGCTCTAGGTTTAGGGTATCCTTTATTAGAAGGTTAAGTAGATAGTACCTATTAGGTTAATTAGCTTACTACTAGGTATTAAACTATTTAAAGGCTATATTAGTAAGGGTCCTCTTTATATAACTATATATTAGGGTATAATTATTTATTAAAGGTCTTATAGCTAAACCTTTTTTAACTAAGTAGTTAGTAATCTTATTACCTAGTATCCTATAATACCTTAGTACCTATTATACCTATACTAGGGTATTAGCTATCTAGGCTAATTCCTAAAACTCTATTAGTAAGCTATAAGAAAATACTAAAATACCTCCTCTTAGGCCTATAATTACTACTATATTATCTAGATAAACTACTATCTTATCTATTTATAATATAATATATTAAATAGCTACTTAGAGTCTATACCTTATACTTTCTACTTCTATATTAAAGACCTTACTTAAGGGAGTTAGTCTTTTTTCTTAGTATATAAGTTTAGACCTTTAAAAAAAGGTATAACCTATCCCTATATTACTATTCTTATTTATTAACCTATTTAAAAAGATAGTAAGGTACTAGTCTATTCTTATCTATAGTTATTATTAAAAATCTTTAATTATTATAATCTTATCTTAATAAGTATCCTTTAAAAGGTATACTAGTAGCTATAGTAGTAGTCTTTTAAAGGCTAGGATGCTTTTATAGGCTATTATAGCCACTATTAGCCTTTATTATTATCTTAGGCCTATTATTTAGTTCTTTCTTTTAAATCCCTTAATTCTATATACTAGTAGGTACTTCTTATTAAGTAACCTAAGTTATAGTATATAGTAATCCTTTATATTATTAAAGAGTAGCTATATTAGGGGTATACTTACCTTATATTAAAGTACTATTACTAGTATAGTCTACTATACTAGGATATAGCCTTAAATTACTATAGTTAGGTACTTTTATATTTTATCTAGCTATTTTAGTAGCCTAGTTTAAATAGGGTTAAAGGTTTTATTATAGTTCTTTTTATAAGAGGGCTTTATACTACCTATATACTAGAGTTCTACCTTAAAGAGGAGCTTTAAGATAACTATTATATAAATAGCTTATTTAATAAAGATAAAGGTAATACCCTAGAGTACTTAGCTAAGGCTTTTAATATACTATATAAGTATCCTTACTTTTACTATATAGTCCTTAATATAATTTTTAAAGTTTAGAGAAAAGTCTAAGTATATACCTAGCTACTTTATCTTATTCTTAATAGGCACCTTATAGTTACTATAGTATAAGATATCTATATAGATCTTTTACTTATATAAAAAGAATATAACTTCTATTTTTAATAAGTCTAGGGTTACTTTATTATCTTTTACTATTATAATTATCTAATTTAGTATTTATTATACTCTAGTAATAAGCTTAATATAATCTTAGCTAGTTAAGAGTATACTATTATTATCTATATAGCTATATCTATATACTCTATTATATATATATCCTATACCTAGTAGGAATAAGATAGGTAATACTAGTAATCCCTAGGGGAGTCTATACTCTAGCTTAGTAAATTTACTCTAGTAGTCTCTTATCTATATTCTCACTATTTATCCCTATAGGAAGGAATTTATTTATTTTAGAATACTCTTATACTACCTTTAGTAGGTTATAGTAAGTAGGAGCTAGAGGTACTATACTATATTAAAGGCTCTTTAGATATTAAAGGTATAGAAAATAGTATCCTCTTTAGTAGCTATTACTAGCTTAGTATTATATATTAATACTTTAACTATATTTATTAATAATCTCTTTAGAAAGGCCTTAGCTATTATTAAAAGTAGTATATTATATTATATAACTACCTAGGTAATCTATTATATAATTAGATATTCTATACCCTTTCCTAAGTAGGAAAGGAGGGATATTAGTTACTAGCCTTTAACTAGCCTATTATCCCTATCTAGTTTTAATATTATTACTATATTAGCTTATTTAAAGACTTTAAGGTAATACCTAACTATTAGGTATCCTTAATAGAGCCTATATATCTATTCTTTTAAGACTAGCTATACTATATAAAGTAGCTTTATAGTAATTCTATTTACCCCTAAGGATATATTTCCTATTAAGATAAGGGTATTCTAGATTTCCTCTATTAAGAATTCTATAGACTAAGGTACTAGCTTCCTTAGGATAGTTAGGATATCTTCTAGTAGGTCTTCTCCTTAAGTTCTTCTTTTAAGTAAGGCTTTCCTAAAATACTTAGCTTTTTCCTTAGGCTCTATATATATCCTACCCTTATACTTAATTAGTAAGGTCTAGAACTATAAGGTTAGGTTATACTAGTTTATTACCTTATATAGAGCCTTATTTAAGTTAATACTATCTACTAGTTTCCTATTAAAGTTAGACTTAGCCTTCTATATTATCTAGTAGAATTCCTTCTTTACTCCTTCTATATTTATTATACTTTATTATACTTTAGTTACTATCTATTAATAAGACTACTTATATTCTTTACTTTACTATAATACTCCTTTCCTTAACTATATAGGTACCTTACTATATACCTTTAGTACTATATTAAGTACTATAACTAGGTTTATTACTAGGTCCTCTAGTTCCTTTAATATTCTACTCTCTTCCTAGATTAGCTATTTATATTTATTAAGATACTTTATAAACCTTAGAACTTACTCTTCTTTTAGTTATAGCTTATTAGCTAGCTTCTTTAAATACTTTATATTAGGTATTATTATTACTAAAGTTTTATAATCTAATAATATATATAGCTAGGGAGTAATATTTATATAGGCTAAGGTAATATTTAAGATTATAAGGTCTAGTATATTATTAGCCTTATATATAGGTATACTATTAGTATTAAGTACCTATAGGTTCTATTTAAAGATCTAGTTAATAAGGTCTATTACTCCCTAACTAGTTATTATACCTAGCTACTATTTATAATAGTAGGTATTAAAGTCCTTTATAATAAATAACTTCTTTAAAGGCTTTTAGTCTTATAGTATATTAATAATATATAGTTTATTATTATCTCTATATATATTTAGAAAGTAGTATCCTATAGTAATAATACTAATAATATCTTTATAGGGAGTACTAGTTATCTACTAGACTTTAGGTTATTAAAGTAACTTAAAGATATATATAAGTACCTTAGGTTAGTAGTTAATACTATCCTTATATAGCTAGTATTAAATTAAAGTAATATAGATATAGTCTTAATATATTATAGTTTTATAAGAATTTAAGAACTATAGCTCCTAGAGTATTATAATATTAATATTATTTTCTTTAATAATAGCTAATATATAATTATATATATTTATAGTTTTAGTAATATTAATTTAGAAGATAGTTAATAGTTATCCTATTATACTAAAGGTTTCCTAGTTTTAGTTATAGCTAATTAGCTTTATCTACTCTTTTAGGTAGCTATAGGGAGGGGAGAAGGATTCTTAGTTTTAGTTAATATCTCTATATCCTAGTTAGTTAATAGGCCTTCTTTACTAACTAAGGCTATACTATTAAAGTACCCTATACTAGCCCCTTCTTTATTACCTATATACTATACTAGCTCCCTAAGGGTAGTAGTATCTATAGCTTATTCTATAGGGTTACTACCTATATTATAGTCTACTTTATTATTAGGTATAGAGTTATTTAAGTTTATTATATTTAAAATTAAGGCCTACTAGGCTATTTATAACTAGATTAAGTTATATAAGAGTACTACTTTATATATTAAAAAGCCTCTTTATTTAATAGTCTTTAATTAGCCTTTAGTTAGCTTTTTAAGCTTTCTATTCTTATTAATTCTAGGCTTAGCTAGGTAGTCTTTATTATTTATAAGGTAAAGGCTATAGTAGTTAGTATATTAAGGTCTATTATTATATTAATAGCTTTTATAGCTATCTTTACTATAGTTAGAGTATCTCTTATAGGCTTAGTAGACTCTTAGGCTATACTACTACTAGTATATCTTATAAAGGTTTAGTTAGATAATAGGCTTTAGTAGCCTTATAAGTCTACTATTAAAGATTTAAAAAGGCTTTACCTTTATAGTAAATTTAATAATAATTATCTAGTAATCCTACCCCTTTATTACCTAGGTAGTATACTAGAGCTTTAGGATAATTCCTATTATAGTCTTAATAGCGTCCTTAATAAGGGAGTTAGTATTAATAGGGGTACTAGTCTAGTCTATAACTAAGCTAGGGATATTATAAAGTATATATATAGTTTAAAATTTAGATTTCTTAATATAAGTTATATTAAGTAGTTAAGATAGTTAAAGGTTATAATTAAGTATAGCTATACTAATTTATTAGTCTCTAGGGGTAATAGTAATTTTAAAAGGAATTTAAAATATCTAGTTAATACTTTTAATCTTAATTTAATAAACTTCTATAATCTTTTAATAAATATAGTAAAGGTTAATATTTCTTAATTTAGTATTATCTAGAATTTAGATAAAGATCTATTTATCTAACTAATAAGGTCTTTAAAGTCTACTTTATATCTTTATCTATCCCTTTCTAGTCTTTAGAATATTTACTAGTAGGCCTTTAAATCTTTATTATTATTACTATTACTATTAGCTATATTTATAGCCTTAGCTAGCTTTAGGTAATTTTAAGGCTTCTCTAGCTATAGTATCTTTATAAGATACTAGGGGATTCTAGATTTAGACCTAACCTATAGAAGGTATAGGTTTATTATTCTTTAAAGGGTTAATAACCTTTTTAATAGTAATTCTTATAATATCTTAATATTACTAGATTACTTTAGTATCTTCTTACTTATTAAACTATCTTAAGGTAATATCTAAAGTAGTAATAAGGACCTTACTAACTTTAAAAAGAGATTACTAGGTATAAAAGGCCTAGTTAAAGGCTACTTTTATTAATATTATAAAGTAGGTAGTAAGGCTAATAAAAATAAGGTTAACTATAAGTTTATTATTATTATTATTATCTTAATCTCTTTATCTTTAAGGGTTATCTCTAGACTATACTCTCTTATTAGAGGCTAGGCTATATTCCTTTTTAAGGGAATTAAGATCTCTTTAGCTTAGCTAAAGAGTTAAATATTTAGTTATTTAAAAGGGGATAAGCTTTATTAGTCGTAGGACTAGTAGTACGCCTATAGCGTTAGCCTATATAGCTAGCAAAAGGGGGGTTTTATAAGCTTATTAAGTATAAGGTAATAGCTTACGTAGGGTACTAACAGCCCTACTAATAAAGGATTTATTAAAGGAGAGAGTTGGACCAGCTAGTTATAAGCTGGAACAACGTTGCTGAACACCATGACTAATAATGATAAATATGCACAACAGGTCTCAATCCGCGGATCGGGAATCCGATGCTCGCGCCACGGCTTAATAAATATTGGGGTGTTATTCCAAAATCATTTCTCGGTTAATCACGTCATCTCACGCTCATTTATCATGTGAATAAGTAGATACCCTACACATCCTCCTTACACCGACTCCGACCATGAGCGTTAACATCCCGCCATCTCAAGCCTGCAAAGAAGAGGACGACCCCCTCTCCTGCTTTCTGATGCCATCCACCCCGATATGCCGGAACCTGTCCGCCTCGTATCTCTTCGTCGCCCTCCAGTTTGTGCAGAAGATGGGCAGGAACAGGACGGCAATGACCAGGACGCCCGCGAGAGGAAGCAGGATGGAGATGACGGTAAAGTAGTAGCTCGCGTTCCGAAACGCGCTGTTCGCTTTGAGGTCGTCCACCGCCAGCCCGACCTGCATGGCCGTGAGCACGACGACGACGTAGACGAGCAGCGCCGCCAGCACGCCCAGGTTGTCCTGTAGCAGGTCCGTGTAGACGGCCGGCGCGTCCACCGCCGTGTACCCGCGCACCAGCCGACCCAGCCGAAACCGGTAGATGCCGTTGAGCCGCCCCAGGCGCAGCTCGCCGTACCAGTACCGCGGGTTCACCTGTGCGTAGCTGTGGCCGTCGAGCACCTGCCTCGACAGCGCCTTCCACGCCGCCCAGGTCAGCTGCTCCGGCAGCAGGCCCGTCTCGGTCGCGATGCGAAAGTCGCTCCGGTACGCGACGAGCGCGCAGTACGAGAACAGGAACCCGCGCGCGCACGCCCCCAGCTGCTCGTCCCCGCCGCCGCCGCCGCCGAGGTGCGCCTCCCAGACGCTGCGCCGCAGCAGCCACGCCGGCAGCGGCTTGACAAAGATGCGCCCCTTGGACCACACGAGGTGCAGGTCCGGGTCCTCGGTCACCGCAACCGCACGCCGCAGGAGCAGCTGGTAGTGCAGCGGCCGCGGCGGCATCGGCCGCCCGCACTGCCACAGCCACGGCGCCGCCTCGTTGAGCCGCGGCACGAGGAGCTCGTTCTGGAGGAACTCGCGCATGTGCGTCGCGGGAAGCACGATGTCGTCGCCGGGGCCGTGGTCGCTCCTGCGGGTGCGGTGCGACGCTGGCAGCGCCAGCAAGTCGTCGGTCGCTGTATTTTGACTCGCCGTGGCTGCGGCCTCGTCAAACACGTCAGATGTAAAGGGGGCAGCCATTGTGGTCCTGCTCGAGGAGGCGGCTTTGGGGAGAGGCAGAGTCTCTACCATGATGCAGGCAGGTTATTTCGACGCCGAATTATGCTGTCAATGTTGAATTGGTCGTAGACTCTTTCTGGAGTACCGTTATGGGAAACGGCTCAATAAAAAAAAGTAGACATATAAAGAGCAATGAGTGAGCGGGAGTACTGCTGTTTATGTGGTCTCATCTGTCTTGGTAGATGGCGGTATGCTTGACCCTCACAAGTACGCCAATGAACAGTACTCGGCACCCTTTATATGTGAAGGAGGTGTCAAGGACGAGCATATATCTTATTTATAGGGTAAAATGACCTATCAAGCTGGAGGCGCCTGCACGCTGCATGCAAACCCGACCACTTCCGTGCCAATGATGAATATCAATGTAGGTCAACTGCCATATCCCGCATCCACGCGCTCCAGGGGGTCAAATAAAATGGGAGAGGGGAATCCGCATATTGAGACAGGGAATGCAAGAGCTGAACGCTGTTGCATCGCTCCAAAGTGCCCTGTTCAGGCTGCGGCTGCAAGCGCTGTGGCTCTTATCTCATGCATATTCCAGGATCAAATTCAGCCTAAAGGACCTCCCCTATTCACAAGACGCCGGCCGACATTGATGCGGCAATCGGACCATTTTTCTTCCTTTATCTTTTGTGGTATAGTACGACAAGCCGGGTAGGTGGTTTTGCGTTCGTCGATGGATGGATCCCGTTATGCGGGAGCCTCGTCGCCCTCGAGTATGCACTCGCTGCTAGCTCTTGTGGTGCACACAACTTACTTTGCCCAGTACCTGAGACATTACTATCAAGGGGGCGAATGGAAGAATTGCCGTCGACTCCATCTGCCAGTTGTCATGCATCATCCCGCAGCCTGTCTGCGGCCGCAGTATGGATAGATGCATCGTATTTGTATGGAACCGCCGTGGCGTCCCGAACTGCATGTGCACGCATAACTACTATGATGAACTCTCAGGAAATCAGAGACCAATGGGATCCCAAGTAGTAAGACATGTCGGGGCTAGGCAGCCTGATTTATTTACAGTCACCAACTTGATAGTTTTATTTGCGGGGAAAAGAACAGGCGATATATTGCATACACTAATTCGTAGACCGCCAAGGAATTGAAGAGCTGAGACACCCTGGCTCAGTATGCAATACCAAGGCTTCTTCATATACACAACAACAGACGCGGTTAATATTGTCGACGGTGCCGTGCTGTTACCCAAAACCCGCCTTTGTGCACAGCATCTAAATGCTCGCCCACCGCAGAAGCACGGCCGCAGCAATGACGGGCAAGACGCTGACAAGCTCACCCAGCCCAGCAAACTCGGGCGGGATCCTGGCATGCACAAACGCGCCGGCGGCGAGGAGAACCGCAAACATGTTGTACACGAAGCTCCATGCAAAGTTGAACCAGATGCGACGGACTGACATTCGACTGACATTCAGAATGGCGAGGATGCCCTCGAGATGCGGCCGCATCAAAACGACGTCGGCGGCCGACTGCGCAACGTCGGCACCTTGGTTGATGTGCACGCCAATCGTAGCTTGCGCGAGAGCGACGGCGTCGTTTGTGCCGTCGCCGCAGAAAATAACGGAGTCCAGCTTTTTGACATAATCGCCCTTTTCGGCGGGGGAGCTTCGCGAAGCGACATTGCTGGTGGGGATGCCGAGTTGAGACGCACACGACTGGACAGCGCCGTCGTCGTCGCCCGAGACGAGGTGCACGGAGATGTTGCGCTTCTGCAAGGCTTGAATCGTGGCTGCAGCATCGGGCCGTAGTTCATCCTCGAGACCATAGGCTGCCACGAAACCGCCATCGATGGAAAAACAAAAGACAGTGTAGCCATTGGCGAGCATAGGTTGCACGAGGGCGTGGTCGGACAGATTCAGCCAGCGCGAGTTACCAGCCTGGAGTGTTTGACCGTGAGAGATAGTTTCGATGCCTTTACCGGTAAGACTTTTAGGCTCAGGAACAGCACAGGCTGTGACGCCGTTGTTTTTGAGATGGGCGGCGACAGCCGTCGAAACGGGGTGTCTACTGTTTTGCACGAGGCCCAGGAGAAGGGGCAGTTTGTCTCCATGCAAGCACTGTTCCTTGGTCACCGACAGCTTTCCGCGCGTCAAGGTGCCCGTCTTGTCAAACACCACGTGCGCCGTCTTGTACGCGACTTCGATGGCATCGGCCGACTTGAAGATGATACCCTTGTTCGCAGCGACGCCGCTGGCAATCACGACGACCATGGGCACGGCCAAGCCGATGGCGCATGGGCACGAGACGATGAGGACAGTAATGGCATAGGTAATGGCTTGAATAGCCGCTTCCGAGCCGTTTTGATGGCGGACGGCCATACCCACAGCCATCCAAATGACAAAAGTAGCAATCGTCAAGGCCACCACGACAGGAACAAAGTAGCAGGCGACCTGGTCGGCGAGATTCTGCAGCTTTGGCTTGGACAGCTTTGCTTCATTCACCATGGCTGCAATTGTATTGATGGTATTTTCGGAGGGTAGGCGATTCAAACGAACAGTCAAAACACCAGGGCCGTTGATGGAGCCTGCAATCACCGCGGATTTGGGGTGTTTCTCAACAGGTTTGGATTCGCCCGTGAGCATAGACTCGTCCGTCTCCGAGGAGCCGGCCATGACGGTGCCATCGGTCGGAATTCTGGTATCGGGGAGCACTTTAAAAACGTCACCATATTGAAACAGGCGAACGTCAATCTCGCGCTCGGCGCCATCTTCCACGAGAATAGCCGTGGCTACCTGCAAGGCCTCGAGGGAAATGGACTCGACGGCCCTCTGACGCGCCAGGGCCGCGACCCAGCGCCCGACCATGATCAGCGTAACAAGCAGCGTGCTGGTTTCGAAGAACTGGCCCGTCGACAACGGCTTGCCGGCGACAAGGTACCCAAAGGACACGACGGAGAAGACATAGGCGGCGCTCGTGCTCAACACGATGAGTAAATCCATTTCAATGACGCGGGAAAAAATGAGCGCTTTGAGGGCTTTGGGGTAAAAAGGACCGCCAATGACGACTTGGACAATTGTAGCGAGAGCGAGCGAGGCAGAGGCGTAGGCAACTTCTCTCTTGGGTAGCGGCGCCCAGGCAAGGACCAGGACTGGAATTGTCAGAATGGCAGAGAGAAGCGTCATCCACCCAATGTGCCGAACATGCTTGCCACCTGCTTCCAGCGAAAAATCTCCACGGGGGGGCGCCAGTTCGAATGGCTCGCCCCAAGACTTTTCTGCAAGGTCGCGAGCGCCGACGGTCTTGGGATCAAAAGTGACGCGGACAGTCTGCTTGTCAACGGCGACCATCTCCACGACGCCATCGGGCCAAGCTTGGTCGATAAACTTGGCTGGCTCTCCGGGGATTATCAAGTCGAGGCTAAACCCGTTATTCTGAATGCGCTCGCATTTAAACTCGGTCGTTCGCTCCAGATGCTTAATTACTTCGGCCACGGAGCCATGGCGGAGATCAATGTTAAATTCCGCTCGGGAGAGAACCAGGCTCGTTTTGAGATCTTTGACGGCCGCGACGCTGGCAAGAGTTCGGCTTAGCTTTGTCTCGCAGCCGGTACAGGTCATACCAGAGATGCTCAGAATGACATGCTCTTTGCCAAGGCCTTGATCTTCAATGTCGGCAATGGCTTCAATAGCCATGTCATCGTCGGGGGCATCCACCACCAGAGGTACATCGCAGCAAGAGTCGGCACAGCTGTCCCCTGCCTGGACGGGGTTCTCGCAGCAAGAGTCTGCGCAGCTTTCGGCCTCGGCAGGGGAGTCTTGACAGAAAGCATCCGCGCGAGACTGGTCCGTAGGGAAAGAGCTGCAGCAGGCATCACCACAGCTTTCTTCTACAACGGGAGGCTTTTGGGAGCAATCATCCGCATAGCTCTTCTTGGAAGGAGAAGCAGTACAGCAAGGCTTGTCACCACAAGCGGCGATGGGAGTCTTGGCAGTCTTGTTGGCCAGCTTATTTCCGCAGGCATCAGCAGGGCTCTTGGCTGCAAGAATGGACTCATCGCAGCAAGAATCAGCACATCCTTTGACCACAGCAGGTGCCTCACAGCAGGAGTTACCACAGGCTTCCGCCGAGGACTTTGGCGGGGAGCAAGCGTCAGCACAGCCCTGCATCTTGACCGCGGACTTCTCACGAGCGTTTCCACAGGTGACAGTTTCCTTGGCCATTTGTTCGCCGCACGAATCCGCGGCGACCTTGCCACTTTCGGGCTGCTTTCCGCAGCAGCCATCACCACATCCCTCCTTCACAGCCACCGGGGCGCTGCAGCAAGACGAGGGCTTGTTAACTGTCTTGTCCTGTCCACAGCAGGGTCCGCCTCCCGCCGGGCAGCCACCACCTGTCTTGGCAGCCTTTTCTTTTCCCTTGCGGGTCGTCACCATGGCCGTCGGCATCACCGCGGGCGAGCAGCAAGACGCGGCGCAAGCAGCAGGCTTGGGAGGCGGCGTCGCCGTCGGCCGGAGAGCGCCGTCGGCGGCCGAGCCTTTTCCGCGGAGACGGAGTCGGTTCTGCGCCGCATGCTCCTTGGTGATGCCGCCGCCGGAGCCGGAGTGGCGGTCGCGAACCTCGCAGCACGTCTCCTCGCCGAGGGCAATCAGCGCGCGGCAGATGCACCCGAGCGTGGCCAGGGTGATGTTGTAGCGGTCAAACACCGAGACGCTGTGCTCGGCGCAGGCTTTGCCGTCGACTGCGCCGTTGCAGGCTGAGCCGGAGATGTTAGCTTTGTGGGTAGGTGTTGGGCCTTGGGCGGGGGATCTCACCATCGGGGCCGCCCTCGCACGCACGCATAGCGAGACGATCGAGGCAAGAGGTATCACAGCACGGTCCGGTTTTGCCGGCGCAGCAGTCGGGCGCATCATCCTGGTCCTTGTCGTTGCCGCTGTCGACAACGGGGTCGAGAGTCGCGTTGGCAGAGCCAGTGCAGCAGTTGTCGCTGCAAACGTCCTCCTCGGGTGGACCAGCGGGAGAAGTCTCAGCAGGTACGGCCGCACAGCAACCGGAGCCCATTTTTGCGATTCGAGTTTCAATTTCGGTCAATATTTTTAATTTCTGTCTTTTTTTTCTCTTCTGGTGTTGTTTGTCGTAGGTTGAGTTATAAACTGGTGGCTGAACAGCGTACATATATTGACCCACACCGCCAGCATCACATCACCCGAGACAGTCCGTGACCGGTGTCGGCGTTTGCAAGCACTGGGATATACGAATTAGATTCTTCTTAATACATCTCTTTTCCGACCGTCTATGTAAGCTCAAGGTTTCATGAATTCGGCCGCAGAGCAAGTGCATTGCCTGTCATGGTCACTTCGAACGAGGTATATTGGCTGCGAATCCAAGACAAGTGCTACTTTCTTCCCTCCCTACAACTTGCTACTTCTGCACCCCCACCTTGGCCTTGATAAAATACACATACCGTTGGCAATTATATATTCCATCTGTTCTCCCTTCGTAACCACGGCTAATGACTTTCAGCAATTCGTGCGCCTCTACTCGTGGTTGAGATCCCACAAGCTGTTTACTGTGACATTGTGCACCCAGCTGCCATTCGTCTGATCTTGTTGCAGCGTGAATCCAATTTCCCTCTTCTGTCCCGGTAACAGTACAAACGCATTATCGTCAAAGAATCCCACCATATCGGCAGGGTGTGTAAGCCAGGTGTACAGTGACACACTCTTGGTCGCCTCCACGGTAAATTTGCTCGTAGCCTCATCGTACGTGAGGTGCAGGCCAGGGTCTGTTATATTTGCTCCTTTTGGAGAGCCTGGAAGAAACGAAACCTCGTGTGTGAGGTTACGGACAAGACGCGCATTTGGTAGCGTCCCATGGGCCTCAACCGTCAATAAAAGCAACGCATTGCCAAGGTCACCAAAACCGCACCCTCGCAAAGTAGCATGGTACACTTTGGTACTGCTAATAGCATCAACAGTAAAATTGAGAGTTTTTGGAAAGCCCAGATTGCCCTTCAGCGGCCTGCCTTGCAGATCGATCCACGTCATGGTGACTTCCCCGGCGACGGCGTGCCACAAATCGGAAGCAACCCATACTTGGAGCTTCTTTGACGCGCTGTCCCAGGAAGTCGAAACGACCACATTTTGGTAGCCGCGCCGGATGTAGTACGGAAGCACTTTCCAGCGCCCTCCGTACTCGAGCGCCGCCCACGTCGGTGCCTGCCAAACGTCATTCAGCTGCCAAAACAGGGTGCCTCGCTGCCGCTCCTTGCCTCCGCTTCCGCGCCGGTAGAACTGGATCTGGCTTTGGTAGAAGTCGGCCTGGAACAGCTGCGTCGCGTGGCACCACGCGCTGAAGTTGGCAACTGGGTCCGTCTTGTTCGGCAAGGGGTAATACAGCTGCACAGCGGCCGTCATTTCTGCCACGCCCTTGAGGCTCTTGGACACATCCGCAACCAGACCACCAGGCGGATAGTGATGGTTCCTAGACAGAATGACGGACGAATTAAAGTGTAAATCCTCTTCATCAATAGCGTCTCTCCACGTTTCCAAGCTAGGCATGCTGTGGAAACCAAACTCGGCTGCGAAACGGCCGACTGGGTAGGAGTCTTCGTCAAAGGCAGAAACGGCCGAGTAATTGTAATGTTCCGTGTCTCCATAAATATAGTCCTTTGTCTTGTTTTCGTATACTTGGACCATGGGGACCGGTAAACTCATGTCGATTCTTGTCCATCCGTTGTTGCCGCTCGAAGGGGTGTAGGAAATTGATCGGGTATTGGCCGCCACGACTCGGAAGAGAGTATCGATGTAGAGATGCTCATATTGACCCACGTAGAGCAAAAAATTGTCTTTGTCGGCGATGCCTGAGATTGGGAGCACGACATTCTCAATCTCGTTGCCACCGGCCCAGCATGCCAATGATGGATGATGGTTCACACGACGAACATTCTCGGTCGCCTCTCTCCGCACGTTGTCGATGAACTGCTCGTCGTCTGGATACAGCGCATCTCCAAACTGAAATTCACTCCATAACAATATGCCACGCTCATCAGCAATGTCATAGATGAAATCGGGGAGGTAGGAGCCCGATGACCAGACCCGAAGCATGTTGAAGTTTTGGTGCTGAATGGCGTCAAACATATCGCTCATCTGTTTGATGTCTGTTCGCGGCCAGAACACATCCGGTGGTACGATACTAGCCCCTTTGACATAGAATTGATGTCCATTCATCTCGAAATGCCAGTCGTTTCCGGGCTGCTTTCCATCCGCAATCTCGTCGGCGCTCGTGGCTCCGGTGCTGAGAAGAATGGTTCTAAATCCAAACCGACGAGTGGAAGTCACTAATGCTGCGGAACTGTTTTTGCTCCGTACCTCGAGCTGGATCGTGTACAGGCATTGATCGCCCATGCCATTTGGCCACCACAGCTTCGGTGTTGAGCTGTCAATTTCGATGCTGCCGCTGAGGGTATCTTGCGACCTCTCAATGTTCAACAGTCTTCCGCGAAAGATAACAGAGGAGTCGTTTGAAGCACTGCCAATGGTGGCGTCAATGTAAGCATCGTTTGGCAGGTTCCCAATGTAGTCGATGCTCGCGTTGACCACCCAGGGCTTGTTTTGATGCGGAGCAAAATTATTGGTCTGGCCTTGGCGATAAACGTCAATGACAGTGTTCACCGCATGTACATTATCTTCATTCCGAATCTGGACAATTCGGCCACTTTTCCATGGCCCTGCAGGAGTGAATGCAGGACTCCAATCCCATCCAAAGTCAGACTGCTGCTTTCTCACGAAGTTTCTATTGGGGACCTCAAAGGTCCATGCTGCCACGAGATCCTTTGACCATGCTGAATGAATTAGCTTGAGGTTCGACTCGAGGGAGTCAAGTACAAGACATTCTTACGCTGTGGCTCGCTGGCATTTTTTGCGTTGGCAATATGGGGCGCACTTCCAAAGTTGATGCTCAGGATGGGTTCGCCTTTACAACCTGCCAGGTCTGATGTAATGTCAAATTTCCATTGGCGGAATTGATTGTTGGTGCTGCCAATGATTTCATCACAAAATTTTACCGTTGCGAATGTATCCAATCCGTCAAACACGAGCCAAGTCTGCAGGCTCTCCTCATGGGTCCTTCGATCCTTGTTAGCTTGTTGAGGACTAATTGACAAGAAAACTCACAGATTTGTGAGAGGGTCGCTGATATATGTCCAGTTCTGGTTGGCCACCCATCGTAGGTTAACATCGTTGAAGCCCCGGAGCCTAGGCCGAGCCCTGCGTCAGCGACGATCAGTGTGATACCCCGGCTCTCATGAACATACGGATCCTCTGATTTTTGTTAACATTTCAGCATTTCAAGCGATAGCGATTTTTTTTACTTACGAATGAATCCAGCAGCGAGCAAATCAAGATGCACATATGACGGAAATGCTGCCGGAACTGTAATATTTCCGTGCTCATTCGTCAACTTCCACTGTTTACCGTCAAGTGACCGAACACCAGTGTCGTCTCGGCCTGATGCGAGCCCAATAGATAGGCCAGTACACAGAGCGATGGCGTGCAATATTGTTGACGGCATCATCATACAATCTAAGACTGGCTCCCGAAATGCGCGGCCAGCAGCTGGCCGCAGCTTATTTATCAGGTTCGATCTAATGGGCAAGCAAGCTTGTGCAGCAGGTCCTTGCGTCACCATGCTGTGATGCACCGTGCGATGTAACCGCTAAGATCGACGGCAAGACAGGGGATCTGGATAGTGCCAAGACAAAGCTATCTCCAGAGCTGTCCAGCGCTGTATACTTTGTCAGAGATTGAATATTTCTGGTGTTCCGGGGGTTGCTAGTTATGATATGTTAGAGATCTCTACTCTCTTGCGGCTAGTTTTCGAATTGTCCAACGATGATATTTCTCACTCAACAGAGTAGATACAGGAAAATCAAGTATACCAAAATCATGGAGAACATTCATCATGCCGACTTCTTTCCCGCTACTGGTTTCCCAAAGCCGACGCCCAGAAGAAACAGCGCTCGGACGACGGTGAGCAAAAGGTAGCTACCCGCGAGGCCCTTGTCGTCAGAGGTCCAGGCGGCCGGACCAAGGCGGCCTTGATTGGCCAGCGAGTGGTAGATGCCGCTCAGGCCCGCCACGTCCGAGAGGAGCAGGGCAAACTGTACGATGCGCCACACGCCCAGATCCTGGGAATAACGGGGCAGGATGGCCGACACGACGGCGACGGCTAGCGCGAGGCCGCCCGCCTGGTGGAAGAGGAAGACCTGGCGCGGGTCGTACGCAGAGGCCGGCGCGGATGCCTTGACAGCGGCGTCCGGGTCCACAAAGTTGAGGTAGACGCCCCAGAGCGCGATGAGCGGATCGAGGTTCTTGAAGAAGAAGCTGTAGAAGCTGGGGACGACGGAGGCGGAGTGCATGGCCATTGTGGTGCCGGTATGGGGTGGCTTGGTTGATGAGGCGTTTGGTCCTGTTGGTTAGGTTGATGATGATTAGATGAGAAAATTGTGCTACATGTGAATAACGTTCACGAGTTGGTTTGATCTTATAGTATGTGTTCATTGAGCCGCTAACTATCGGCCGCTAACCAACAGCAGCCCGACTGCTTATGGTGGCGACAGCGGCTGTACAAAGCTAAAAGAGGGTGTTTTGCACTAAAGACTACGTTGTATATGAGAAGAGGTGAAGATTTGATAACAGTCCGCATATCATAGCCCGCGATTCAGGCAATGTCCGAACCTGTCACTGACTGTCATGTGCATAGAATGAGGATAACATTGGGATTACACCTTGACTTTCAGTCTTATCGGGAATATTTTCTTACTATGCTGAATGAGTCGGTCGACTTCTACCGTGACGTATGGTCCAAACGCCCGGCGCTGAAGTGACCCTTATGAGTTAGATTTGTTCCTGGACTGATACATACGACCATAGGCAGTAGAGAACACCGCGTCCCGTTTGCTCCGCTGAAGTTAAGCTATTGACCGGCAGATTAGTAGTTGGGTCGGTGACGACCAGCGAACACCGGCTGTTGTATGTTTTCTTTTTTTATCATTTTTCCCAATAAAAGATAATATACCAGGGATGGTGATGGTGTTGAAGGGTGGTGGAGTCAAAGAGGCGATGAGTGGAGTGGACATGGTGCCCAAAGCACCAAGAATCCAAGCCCTAAGAGGGCACCCAAATTCCCACATGATCTTCTTAAATAACTATACTAGATAAGGGGTTCATTCAATAAGGAATAAATTACTCCGTACGGAGTAGAAGCTTAGAAATTAGGTGACCCTGTTTTCCTGTTTAACCAGGATTACGGGGAGAAGGGCGTAGCCGGGCCGAACGTTACCCCCGCCTGATCTACATATCCTAATATTTCTTAGCATAGCTGGTTTTTGATACTCTTTATTTTTATTCACCCCACAGGCTATCAATCCTTCATCTTCAGTCGCCGGAGCCGTGCTTTGTTGTGCATCCGCGCTCTAGTTAAAACACAATCCCCATGATCCTAGGACCACTAGTGTTTACCTAGAGCGACTTAGGTTCATGGAATCAGCTAGAGCAACGCTGTCGACAGCCACATCGTCATGCTCCTCTACCAAGAGGTCATCACACTCATTACAGCCATCGGACATTTCTCTCGTCGGCGAAGAAGACGATCCGCTTATCCCTTCTCCCTCCAAAGTGCACCGTACCTTTCATGACGGCCGAGCAACATGGATGAGACTGAGGGAGCGCGCCGACGAGTTCCAAGTTGGACAGTGGCCCACCGAGTCCCTGAACCTATATCTTACTCTGATGAACGTCCCAAAGCTGCCGCAAAAGCTTCCTCTACGGGAATTAGGGGGACGACCACAGTGGCACGTCTCTGGCTTCAAGGGACCCCTGGGACGTTATGATGATGAATGGGATTCACAGGATGAATGGGATCCAGAGTTCGTATATGGACGTAAAATCTATCTCAATCTCGTGTGTGAAAGTCCAATGCGGTGTGATATCTCCACAGAGGCAGCGTCCTGTCACTTACGCGACAACCAAACAACCACCGGCAGCCTTGCTATTCTCACCATGTGTTGGTCGTACATACTCTCTGTTCAACTTCTTGAGATGCAAGGCAGAAGTGTTGCATATACTTCGCATAGACTACTGCCGCAGACGAACCATGGGGAAAATGCCTCCGCCATTTCTTTAGATGGCGCATCCCCGGCGCTAATTAGGTGGCTTTGCGCCCTGTTGAGCCCCGAGTTAGGCTGGTCAGCGAACAACGCGGAATGTCTCCCGCCTTGGACATCTACTCTCGGTGGAAGCAACATTGTGATCTCTGTGTCGGGGCTAGTCTCGGAGCCTGTTGATCCTCCCAGCGCAGCTGAGGCGACGGAGCTACTGATCGAGTTCTGCCATCTTTTCGGACTTGGGGCGAACGCTACTACGCGGGCAAGGGGACACAAATCGCTACTACCATGGACGGCTGGGCTCCTTGCCGCGCTTGTGTTGCCTCTGTATCGATGGATGGAGCTTCAACCGCGGTTTGCACCTACGAGACTCGCCAGAGCCAAAGCAACGGCAACCAGAAGTTCAGATGGAGGCGCTTCAGATGGAGACGCTTCAGATGGGGATGCTTCAGATGGAGGCGCTTCTGATGGAGACGTTTGGGTTGTGGATGGAGACGCTTCAGATGGAGACGCTTCAGATGGGGACGCTTCAGATGGGGATGCTTCAGATGGAGGCGCTTCAGATGGAGACGCTATTCGTCAACACTCCCAGGATCTGCCCTACTTTGCAACCCTCAGCCTGTATCCACAATCGATTGGGTCTATGCTTTGGAGCATGTTCTGGCAACCCAGACTTGATTGCAACCTTGTAAGCCCGTGGTTAGCGTCCATGCTCGATATTCTCCACCCCCTTATCAAGGCCAAAGATCTCGACAAGCTTCTCAAGGTCTTTGCCCTGCGCCGGCCGCGGGTGGCCCTTTGGTGGCTTGCCATTTTCCTTCTTGGTGACATGTCCGTTCTTGACTGGATCCGACGGTATGCAACGACCTTGAACGAGAAGTACGGTTTCGGGTCGCAGTCGCCACCAGACCCCATAGTCTTTCCTTGGACAGGCGCGATACAGTCGTTCCTAGACTTTGCCAGCAGACCTCATCTCTCAGAAGCAGAGCAAATCTCCAATGAAGACATTCTACGCATGCGGTTCAATCTGAAACTACAGGATTCTGCGTCGGTGCCTGTAGCATGGCGCCCGTTTGGATGCCGCGATAAGCGCCAGGTCGAAATCGAGCTCTGGCCGTACCTGGAGACTGGGCTCATTCGCAGATACTTGTGTTTTACTTGGTACTCGCCTAAAACGGGTCATAGGGTGCATGAGGAAGGCTTTCGACGAGATACTGGAAGACAGATAATATGGACAACGGATGACTTGAAATGGGTTTCAACTGATTCAACAGATGACGACTGCCTACACAGCATAAAGCGTGCGCCCTCAAAAGATTCTACATTGAGGATGATGTCCATGCTCGTCGAAGATGCTATGGGCGGTCGGCATTGGTCGAATAGCGGCTTTCCTGGGGTGCTGAAGGATTATGCCTGGCTACATGACTGGGAGGGCCTAGCTACGATGGATGTGCCCGAGAATCCTGCCAAGGCTGCAATAGAAGCCAGCAAACCCCCTTCATGGTTTTTACAGCAGTGGATGATCGGGGCGTATGATGGATGAATAGACTACCTACCCAGTCTGTTGGTTTTTTTTTCTCTTTCATTAGCGGTTGGTAACGACACTAGCGAATACTGGCTATTGTTTTCTTTTCATCATTTTTATCAATTTCTTTGACAAGTTATTTATATACATATAAACGTTATATACTGGCATGTGTCACCGCTCTAGCCTGTATGCGGGCACTACGGCGTAATCCTTGCCTCGGAGCTGCCGCTGTTGTTTCTGGCTTGGTTTTGGATCCTGTCCTATGCCTCGCCGCCCTCTTGTTCTGCCGCGTTTGCCGCAACGGCGGGTTAGCTACCGCCGCTTCCTCTTTCCCTTTCCTGCCTCTTGTCCTTGTCGCCGCTGTGGGGGCTGCGGCTGCTGTGGTTGTGCGCGCTGTTGTTGGTGCCGCCATAGATGCCATCGAGGTGATTCTCGCGCTTGTGCGGGTGGCACTCTTACGTCGCTTCATCGCAGTACCCTCGCTACTGCCGTCTTGGTCTTCATTACCGTCACCGTCGTCGGCGACTTCATTGCGAGACCTCTTCCTGCGCGACTGGGATTCTGGTTGCGTACTCGCCGCTGGTGGTAGCTGTGTTGCTGCCACTTCTGCTGCTATTGCCCCCTCACCATCGCCCTTCTTCGCCTCTCTCGCCACCCGCGCCTCCTCCCGAACCAGCTCCAGCTGCTGCACCACCCACTCCACCAGTACGGGTTGGTTCTTGACGTCCTCCTGAGCGGCCCGGTATTCCTTCGTCTCCTTGCGAAAAATTTCCATGGCCAGGGCCCGAGCCTCGGCCCGGTCATTTTCCTTCATCGCAGCTTCTAGTCGTTGCGTCATCTTCCGCTTAGCCAACCGCTCCTTGATAGCAGTCTTCTCCAACTCCCCCTGAGCCGCCAAGACAGCCGCCCTTGTCCGGCGCATGTCGTCGTAAACTTGTGTCCGGCACGCGTCAGTGGGCATAAACTCGGCCGTCTCGCCTGGCAGCAACACACCAGAATCTTGTAGCTTCGCCCACGCCGCGTCGTGCTCCGTCTGGCGCATCGCTAGACACTTGTCGTAGTGGTCCTGCCACCAGTACTCGAAGCAGAGGTACTCGAGCCATGTTGTTAGGGCGTCCTGTCGCTTCGGGTCCTCGTCGAGCTGAAACTCCCGGCGGCGGCGCGGGTCATTGTTATTCTTATTATCGTCGTTGTCATAGTCGTCATTATTATCGTTATAATCGTTATTGTCGTCTTCATCGATAGCATAGCTATAGGAATGACCGTGACGCGCTAGGCGAGCGTAGGCAGCGATGCGATAGCTGCTAAACTCACGACAGCCGGGCTCTCGTTGGTAGCACCGTTTCCATGCGCGCCTCTTCTTTTGCTGCCACCACCACGTCCACGGTCTCGCAAGGTAGAGGGGATCTGCGGCCAGGTTTGCATCCAGCTCAGCCAGAAGATTTGTGTCGGGGATCCTCAAGTACCACTCCCTCAGCCGCGACACGTACGCGTTGTAGCCGTCGTCGGCTTCCTTGATGCCCCGATTGTCTAGCTGCCAGTCACGAAAATCCCGCCACCGCGTTTGCTGTCGACGGAAGATTTCATCGCGGCTCACTACAGGACGGGGGTGATTCCAAAACGGGCGAAGCATACCCGCCCAGTGATTGTTTGTATTGTCTAGGACGTCGCGCAGGAGACGAATCGGGTATAATGGTCGGCCGCCGTCGGCAATAAGGGCTCGATGGGCTTCCTTCTCGGCCTCCTCATACATGTCATAATCTGGCACTTCTGTCACGCTATCGTATTCTATTTCGTTCATTTCGTTTGTCGTTGCTTGGGGTTGTGCGACTGGTAGGTGAGCAGTATCGGCATCGTTATCTCGTTGGCGTGATTGTGTCTTAAGCAGATCGTGAATACGCGCATCCAGATATCCGAGGTCGAGTGGGCGCTCTGTCTTGGACATCTGTGCTTTGGCAGTTCTACTCACCACCACCGTCAATAAAAAATTTCCTACTCTCCATCCTTGATCACTTTTGAATAGGGGTACTGCTTACTTCAATCGTGCAACGAAGAGGCTTAATTGACTCTCGTCGACGCCGTCGTCGTTGACGGGAATGGTGATGCTGCCATCAGGTTTGCGGTGACGGGCCATGAATTCAACGAGCTCCGCATCACTAAGTTGCATGAGCTCTGCAACAGGAATATCGCGTACTTCGGCCATTTTCCTGACCTTAATTATCGAGGCTGGTGTACGTGATAAAAGATAGATGTGGTCGGGCTGAGGTGGACAGCAGAAGCGCCAGTGTGTACGTACCTTGCATGCTGACTACCCCATAAGGCGCGTTGAGGGCTGTTTTTCAGCTGTTTTCCGACAGGGCGCTAAACACGGTTTCCGTTTAACACGTAATTTTCTCCTATCACAACGCTGTCAGGCTGCTTTTGCGTGTTAAAAAACCTTGAAGTTTTTTATAAGCCGTGTGAGGCACCTGACAGCGTTGTATGTAAATCATAAGAGACCTGTCTAGTACACATAGGTACCTTAGGTAAGCAACCAAAGCCCTCTCGGGGCATCTCAAGAGGTAGTCATCTCAAGTCGGACGGGGCGGACGTAGATACGAACCCTAACCCCGAGCACATAGCTGCAAAACAGTTATAGGTGCACTATATACTTACAGGCGACCCTCACAAGCGACACTCGCCAGCGCTCTGCATCACACTCTCTAGCCCTGAGTTATTAATAGTACCTGGGTAGGTGTATGCCGTTAAGCGCCGGCGAGCGTACAAAAGTCACTAACATTGGTTCCACTTCTACCCGCTCGATGCACCTACCCGCCCGCTCGATACCTAACAGCCCAGCGTCATAAAACCGTGAGAAAACACACGCAGCTTCTGGAATTTTGCAGGGCTACGTGTAAAGAAAACAAAACAGTCGTCACAATGATTAAAACCAAGAAAACATGACCGCCTCATGCGTAAGAATGAGCATAGCGTTCCGAATTGTATGCTATGCCTCAGGTTCTGTACACACATAGGTAAGTAGGTAGGTAACGCGATTCTCATGCACCGTCACACTGTGATCCAGTTTCAGCCTTACCTGTTAGCTCTCCATCCATTGGATGAGAGTGATCGTTATTATTTGCTGTCCACGACAAGTTTTCAATATTGGTTTGTTCAAAGAAATACAAATAGCGTCGCTCTTTCTTCTTCTTTCTTTTTCTTTTTGCCACAACATATACACATCCAGCGAAGTGACGCAGTAGCACCACCATCACCACCACCATCACCACCATCACACCACTCAAGTGAAGCACAACGCCCATCGCTACCCGCTACCATGGATCATGATGCAGACCTCATTGCCAAAGTCTATCCAATCATGGAAGATGGGTCTCACGCCGTCATCAACGCCATCGGAGGGACTAGTAGGCATTGCGTTTTCCCATCACCGCCGCGCCCGTCGCCCATGCCCTACGATTCACGGGAGCCGACCCCTCTGCTTGATCCAACGTTGGAAGAGCCTGAAGTGGCTGGGAAATCCTACCTTGAGCTCAGGTTTAGCTGCGTCCCGGAAACTTCCCATGGGTTTCTCTTTGGTCGTAATCCTAGGTGCGATGTAGTTCTGCCGAACCTCGTGGGACTCAGCCATTACCACTTTGCCGTTACATTTGACGATTCTCGACGCCTCGTGGTCAGTGACCTACACTCCACCACGGGGACACAAGTGACGTATAACCGTGAGGGTAAAGGTTTCCGCCGCGGCCATCGGTGGATCATTGGCGGCGTCAAAGAAGCTGATGCCGCTGATATTATCGTCAGCCTATATGGCAAGATCTCATTTCGCATCGTCGCCAACGTCTCTGAGCGCATCAGGACATTACCATCCAGCTCGGAAGTGTACAATACACGGGTTGCTGCCTACCGCACTGGAGCAGCCGACGCCGGCAGCCTTTTTGCGGACCTGAATCTCAGGATCCAGCAAAAGACCGAGCTTCCCTCCGGAGCACAGACGCCCGGAACAGAGAGTATTTGCCTAGGAATGGAGATCGGAAGGGGGGCTTTTGGTCTAGTGACTCGTTATTGGAACGTCCAGACTAGTTACCGATATGTGGTAAAGAGTCCACTCCCAGAACGTATCGCAGCTGGAAACGTGAACGTGGCTGCATGGCAAAATGAGGCTCACATAATGAGGCTTGCGTCGCAGCATCGCCATGTATGTATACCCCTTATACCCCTGCTTGATAGCCGATACGGCACGGCTTCGTTTCCGTTCTGACAAGACCTCATGTGTCACGCGCAGCCCAACATTGTCCAGTTTCTCGATGCGACCTTTGACCCCTATCCTCAGCTCCTCTTTGAATTCGTTGCCGGAGGCTCTCTAGAGGATCATACCAATTTGTCCGCCGTGGAGAGGCACATGGTGCTCTGCCAAGGTCTCTCTGCGCTCGTCTACCTACACGAGAGCGACCCCCCAATTGTCCATCGTGACATTAAGCCGGGGAACATCCTCGTCAGCAGCCGCGGTGAAGGCCGTATCTACATCAAGTTCGGCGACTTTGGCATGTCCCGAGACTACAATGACATGTCCACTATCTGCGGCACGGCTAATTATCTCGCGCCCGAGATGTGGGCCAGCGACGATTACACAAGAGCCGGCGGCGGCGAACGCCAGAGCTACAGCGAACGTGTCGATGTCTGGTCCCTGGGCGTCGTCATGTACGAGCAGCGGTGCCCCCTACCCAGCAGAAAGTCGAGGAGAGGGAACGGGGGCTGGACTCACGGCCTCGATTGGTATCGCAGTATGCTGGATCGCTTCTGGGGCGACTGGCAACAGAGCCGCAGTGCGCTCTCTAGACTGCTTCTCGACAGGATGCTAGTGGTGACGCCGTCGCTGCGAGACTCGGCGCGTGTGTGTCTAGAGCACGCACTTGAGCTCACTCCTGATGTTGATGGCAACAATGCCCGCAGAGGTGCCGACAATGATGTGGATGCGAATGCGGGCGTAGAAGATGACACGGATGCGGAAACCATTATACTAGGACGACAAGAACGACCACGACGACAGCAACAACACCGACAACAGCAACAACACCGACAACAGCAACAACACCGACAACAGCAACAACACAGACAACACAGACAACAGCAGGACGTCCCGGGGGCTGGGTCAGCAGCGGCGGTATCAAGGCACCTCACTCTTACACCCAACAGAGCAGGCGCCACAGCCGCATCCCATAGAAGCGCTCGATCCCTTTTCTTCGGTGAGCCTGGACTGGTGCGGATGATGCTGCGGCGACAGCAAGTCACTATGCAGGCGTCTGAGCCCTACCACCTCAACGCCTCGCAGATCATCTTGGCCAGCAATGTCTCCGCAGTCGCCAGAGCAACCCTTCTCCGGGCCCTCAAGCGGCGTGGCGTCCTCGTCAACTGGCAGGCTGCAGGGCAGCGAAAGGCCGCGTGGGTGCCCTTTGACGACGGCGTGTTCCTGTGTCAGCTGCTCGGCGTCGACGACGCGCTCCAGCCGCTGCTTCTGCACGCGCAGACGCCGCTTCCGGGACGCGAGGAGAACCACCTGATGCGTTTCGCCGGCCTGGCGGAGGACGAATTCACGTACCTGCCATGGAAGGGGGGCCAGTGCAGGGTTGCCTGTCGGCCGCGGGACCGGCTGATCAATCTGACGACGCTGCTCATGCCGCCGGCCGAGTTTGGGTTCCGCAACGGGCCCAAGTGGCCCAAGGCCGTCGAGAGGAGGCTCGAGGCGTATCTTAAGCGGAATCTCCAGATGAAGAAGACGGTGCTGGCTTGCGGCAAGGCGGAGATTCGCGGCACATATGTCTCTTATGAGGATGCAGAGGTGATTTATGCCCATTTTGACGGTCCGCATGGCCAAGAGTTGACGGCTCTTTTGCGCGGGGATACATTGCAGCCGTCTGCTGCTGCCGCCGCCGCCGCCACTGTCATCCCCGTGGCATCCTCGGCGTCCTCGGCGCCCGAAATGGCTGGCACCACCCAGGCTGCGTCAGCATCGTCAGCACCGCCATCGCAGTTGGCCTACGTTGCACCGTCGACACTCCAATTAGTCGGTGCCACCGAGACAGAGACCGTTAAAGTGCGACCGCGGCGGCCGCCTCAGCAGCAGGTGGGTGTTCTGACGGCCGGCGACGGCGACGGCGACTCGGCGAGCTACTTTACCGAGGCCGATTACCAGCACGGGTCGTATCTGGCGCCGGCCAACTCGTCGCATTTGCGCATCGCCGCAACTACTCCCAGGGCCGGCGCTGCTGACGGAGACATGAGTACGCAAGGAGGCGGTGGATATGCGGCGGGTGTTGTTGACGTGACTGAGCTGGAACTAATGCCTGGCGTGCTTAGCGAGTAATAACTAGGAGCAACACAAGCAAAGAAATAATCAGATTGTATGAAAACAGAGCAAAGAACAAAGAAATTAGTGGAGAGACCGCTACATCGTGTCATGTAACCAGCCCTAATCGGATGAACCGGTACCTCCTCTATGCCTAGGTACCTCAGTCATGTCCTGCCTATTTCATGGTGTAGAAATCTTACTCACGAGTAATCTATAATAGGATAGATCTTTACTTATTTTACTTATTTTATTTATTTTATATTTTATTTATTTTACTTATTTTATTTATTTTACTTATTTTATTTATTTTACTTATTTTATTTATTTTACTTATTTTATTTATTTTACTTATTTTATTTATTTTACTTATTTTATTTATTTTACTTATTTTATTTATTTTACTTATTTTATTTATTTTACTTATTTTATTTATTTCACATTTTATTTACTTCATATTTTATTTATTTTATTTATCTTCCTCTAGTAGCATGCGACCACAGCTTAAGCACCATGAGTGCACTGGCAGGCACGGAAGGTTCCGGTTGAGGGGACGCAGCGATAGTTGGTTGTCTGCCAATAAATCGTCCGTTGCTGTCTCGGGGTTGTTTGTATTTTCGTGTGCGTGCTTTGCCTGGCATATGGCGTCGTTTGCAGCAGTCGAGTTATCAGGTCTGAATATCTAAAGTAGAGGGTAGAGGCGGCGTTCGAAGAGATAATGATCTTCCAGTTGACCGGATTACTGGAAGTGTGCTAACACGCTCTCGAACTTCACGACACAGAGGGGACTTTCTTGATGCTAAGAAAGCGTCGGATCTGATAGTTCGTTTCGAGAGGGGCTCGTGTCCGGGGTTGTGATACGCAAGATCCTCTTTTTCTTCTTCTTTTCAGTCGGAGAGCAGTAGGGAGAGCTGGGCTCGATCCGGGAAGCTAGATGTCGAATAGTAGAGAGCTGGGCTCAATCTCGAAGGTTGGTCGATCTTCTCGCCCACAGGGGAAATTTTTCCGCGTTTGTCTGCCTTCGGCGTTAGAGGGCCCGGGGCACGAGAAAAAAATTCTTTTTACGTCAGCGAGAGAACAGCAATTGCTACCATGTGGTGAATCAAGGGAGTGAGTATCACGACCGGTCAGACGCAAGCAACAGCAAGAGAAAAACAGGTGTATTGTGATGATGAAGAGGAAGGAAATCTATCAGGAGGAGGCCAGCGTGGCCAGGTGTTGAGTTATACACTCAAAAAATGGACGCGCCACACTTTTGTAGCGCCTATACTCGGACATTGAGCGAGGCCAACAACACTCCAATTAATCAAAAGCTCTATGGAAGTGCAGCTAGCTTACACGCTAAATTCTAGAATTTTAATTTATTAGTGTTAATCTCTTTTGATCCCAGAAGATGCATTGTGAAGTGGCTGTGCTGTCAAGTGTATATCACACCATAATTCTTTCACTGATCTACAGAAATAAAGAACATGCGAAGAAATATCGAGGGAAACCCCTTGATTATATAAGTAAAATATACTTTTTAGTATTAATTCTCTAATGCTTGACATAAACTCCTAAAAACACTTCATGTACTCTATGCTTTTCTTGTGTTTGGTCCCAACCCAAAAAGACTTGTTCAAAATGTGCACCGGCTACCATCATTCCGCCCTCAAAGCTCCAAATTCCTGCTCAAGACGCCAATAATCTCCAACTGGTAGACGTATATGGTTGATTGCGCCTTCGGGGGCGCGCCCCATCCGCGGAAAAGCAGCCACACGCGGCACATAGTTCCCGTGCTCGACCTCGCAGATGGCCTCTCGGAGCACGCCTGTGCCGAGTCTGGCCGCATCCCAGAAAACGCACCCGAGCTGGCGAAGCTGAGCCCACTTCAAGTCCGCGACCTGCAGATAGCCGCCTGTTCGCGCCATGTGGCAGACGTAGCCTTGGTTTGGCGCGGTGGGCGACTCGGGGGATCCGTCTGGCGGGCCGACCGGCGCGGGGACCTCCCTGAAAGGATTGAAGGGGACAAAACGACGCCTTGGGCGAGTGGTCGAGAATCCGAAGACGGGCTTTCCGCCAACGTAGTGGCTCGGCAAGGCGTCGGTGAGGAACGGGCCCCAGGTGTCGTTGAGCCTGCGCAGGCATGTGAAGCGCGCCGTCTTGTCGCTTCGAGCGAATGCCGATAGGTAGACAATGCCGGAGGCGGTTATCGAGCTGACATAACCAATGGAGACCCAACGGTGCTCATTGGAGAATTGAAGCAGCGGGGTGGCGTCCATTTGAGCGAAATTTGTCCATGCATACGCCGGTGCTGGGGTCTGACGCATCGCCTTTTCGCGAGCTGCTTTGGCGGCAAGACGACGCACCTCGGCTTCGAAGTCGCGATCCATTTCTTCCATCGAATTCTCAACAATATCAGCGAGATACTGATGAACAGTGGTGATTTCTTCCACCTCCCACGGCGCAAAATGGGACAGGAACTTTCGGAACTGCGTCTCTCCCTGATAGTCTTGTACCTCTCCATCCCTGTGGGCGGGTCGAAAGAGCCGCGCGTAAATCTCAAAACGCAAAAAGGCTCTATATAGCCGAACTTGCTCCGTCTCAGAGATTTTGGTTTCCAAGGAAGCCTCGTCGCAGAGCCCGCCCTCGGTCTGCGACTCTTGGTCACTGTCGTCGCTGTCGTCGTCGATGCTCCCACACAGCCTGTGTGCCTCGAGCGCCATCTTTTGCGTGAGGTCGACTATGGAAGAAGAGATGGCGCAGTGTAACTTGTGAGCGGCCGCTACGCTCTCCATTGACCTGGGGAGCTCAAAAGCTGCATCGGGAGGGCCGAAATACCGCTCGAGAAAGGCGTCCATGTTTTCCTCGTCTGCGCCAAGTAGGTTTGGGTCCGTAACAGGGTGGAAATTCGACAGAACAAAATTGGCGGCACAAAACTCTGACCATAGTAGCGGAGGAACAGCTGATTTCAGACGGCGGAGCAGGACGATGTTCGGCGCTTCAGCAAAGATCTTTTGACAGTGGCGCGACGCCAAGATCAGGTTCAGAAGATCTTTTGTCGAGTCCATCGCTTTGAAGATGAGAGATATGAGCTCTTTCGGTAGTTTGTAGAATAGATTAGCTGCCATACTTGATTGAATTTGAAAGGCGTGGAGTAGAATAGAGTGTTGGGGAATTCCTGGGTGTGTTGGTTTGTTGGTGTGTTGGTGTGTTGATGTGCGTGCCTAGATGGCCGAGGGACCTCTTTGCTTTATACACAGGCCAAGTAAATAATAGTCTTACTATCATTGATTTACCTTTACACTGAGTTTGACTAGCTAATACTTCTCGTGCCTCTATGAGTTTATGAGGGAAGGAAAACCCGTAATAGTAGACTCGTGCCAGTATGTCACTGCCCAGGTGAAAACCTTCCTTCCAACAAGCTTTTCTACTATTGCTTCTTCAATACCAGTAGGGCTTAGTGGTTTTCAGTGTTTCCGAAGGTTCCTAATCAAGAAAAAAGTAATTTTAACAATTACATAGCAAAGGTTGATGATGCAAAGCCTAAAAATGGCCACGTTGAGAAGACCGCGGCCGTAGCGCCGAATGCCGGCTTTCAGACTGAATGGACGAGACTCTATCGCCACTCACAGGTCCAATTGACTTTTCAGAAATGAATTAGCGGCAGTCTCACTTAGCCTCTATACTAAAAGCTCATTCATTATTAGGGACTTTCTGACCGTTAAAGAATGACCCAAGGCTTGGTAAGAAGCGAGTACAGTTCTCATGGATTCGCACTACCGAACGCAGCCTGGGCTGCAATGAAGGCTTAGTCCTTGGGTAACTTTCATTCAAATTGCCACTGGGAAGTTTATATTAAATATGAAGAGTTTCAAGGCTCTCGCCTAGGGTAAGGTAAGTTCACTAGGCGACTACAGCCTGAGCAAAAATACAGCCGAAAAAGGCAGACTGCAAACTCTCACTGCAGCAGTCTCTGAAAATCAATCAAGACGAATATTGATAATTATTGAATTGAAGCCGTAGATAAAACGAAATGGTATAGTACAGATATATACAGTTTCGGGGGTCCTTGTAATATGCATGTGTAAACAGACCTTGGCAGCTCGCTCGCTGTTTCTCGCCGCCAGGTGACATCGATCGTTTCAACCGCACAGCGGTATCAATTCAAGAGAATAATGGGCAGTCCCGCGGCTGCAAAAATGGAGCCCAGCAGCGCCGGACTCGACATGACGAGCAGAGATTCCTTTCGGAGGAACAGCCTCCCGGCGCGTGCCACTTCACCCCCCGCATTGCTCTTCGTGACCAGCATGAAGATTGCGATACTGAAGGCGTAGACAAAGTTCTCCATCCGAGCGTACTGGCTCAGCTTCCACTTCTTCAGCTCCGTCGCCGCCATCTCCCAGGCCAAGGCGGCGATGCGGCAGAGGAAGATGCTGGTGGACGTCGCACCGGCGACGGCCACGAGGGCCGACAAGGGGTCCATGCCTCCCCCCGTCCTCTCCAGCGTCAGCAGAGACGAGGACAAGAGGATCTGGGACAGGGCAAACATGCTGGCGGGACTAAAGAGCATCTCTGCCGTGTCGCTCCGCAGCGGGTTGAGCACAAGCCGCACGGCGCCGTTGGCGAGCACTGCGGCCAGGCCAACATCGCCAATCTTGGACGTCCCTTGGTTTGCGAGATCCATCACTTTGAGGCCGAAAATGCCCGTGTTGAGTGCAGCGGCCAGCAGCTGGATGGCCGGGTACTTTTCCTTGCGCGTCGAGCCGCAGCACCCCGCAAAGTAGCAGCCGACCCGGCCAATGGCCTCGCCCACGGGCAGGCTCATTCCGACGGCGCCGAAGAGGATCCTGTGGTTGACCTGGAGGCCCAGCAGCGGGCAAACGTTCAGCCAGAGCGCAGAGAAAAGAATGGCCCCCTGGATGGAAATGCCCTTGTAGCCCGGGAAAAATCGAGGGGACACGCCTGGAACCGCGGGCGGCGGTGGCGGCGGCGCAACACTCTTTTTCTGCTCTTCCGTCAGTCTCCCGACCGGTACCGACAGCACCTGGTTCATAAACTTTGCGCCCAGCAGGCCGCTCACCACCGTCCCGAGGCCGACGGCCGCCAGGTTGGACAGTTCCCTGCGCGGAAACGCGTCGCCGCTGGCCAGCTCGTACATGGTGGCCGCCGAGAGCTCCGTCGCCGCAATGGCCGCGCCGAGCAGCACGCTGTAGACGGAGATTTTTCTGATCTCGCTGCCGTTTTTCAGGGCAAAGTGCGCCGGGCTGGCGGGCTTGAGGGAGACGTATCCCTGTCCGGCGAGCAGCTTGTAGGCAATGTACGTGACGAAGCACGCGTAGAAGACGACGGTGATGAAGTACGCCAGGCCCACGTTGGTGGCCAGCGCCGGTCGGAAGAGCTGCGTCTGCAGCAGATATGCCGCCGGCAGGGCCCGCAAGAGTAGGATGGCGACGGCGTTGCTGGACGTGATGTGGGTGAAGAGCTTCGGGTGCTTGTGGTGCAGGCCGGACATGCGGATAAAGGCCCGCGAGCTGGAAAACACCTCGGTGACGAGTCCAGCATAGATGAGATAGATGGGCGCCATGTTGAGCTTGTTGGACAGGACGATGCCCAGCGATGTGAGGGACAGGATGTGGTGGACCAGGTAAAAGTGCGTGCCGCCGAGCAGCGGCATCTCGGCAATCCACATCACAACCCGCGCCCCAACGCAGACTTTGGAGTCGAGCGTCAGAGGACTTGTCGAGAAGCCATTCTGGCTGGCTGGGTAGGAAAGAAATGCGTGGCCACACAGCGGAGCCGTCGTCAAGGCGATCGCAACGCCGATGAGGAAGACGAGGAGTTGCAGCGTCTTGCGTGTGCCGAGTTGTTCGAGGAGCGGCAGGTAGAGGCCCCGGAAAGCACGCTTCATAAACTGATGGAGCACACTGAGGATAGCATAATACGCCAAGATACCCGTCAACACGAATTGGGTCTCTTGGGAGCGTAGGAGAGTTTGGAGAGCCATGTTTACGATTGTCACTCGGCAAGCGAAAGGTGAATATGCATTGACAAGCTGAGTAGCACACTCGAAAAAAAGTTCATACAGAACATGCCATTATAACATGATTTTCTACATGGCCAGTTCTTGGCGTATGTATTACAACGTACTCGAATCCCGTTCCCGAAGTGGAATGCCGCCCAAGTGTCGCCAGCAAACAAAGGATGCCGCCTCAAACGTCAACGGAGGTGCGGGCGGTCGACCCGAAATGGAGAACAAATAAATGCTTCGCTCAAATAGAACCCCAACTTTAACCGTCGAGCCTAAAGAGTGGCGCCGCAGCTGACGAAGGATGGATCCGACTAATCGGTCTGTTTCGGCCGACTGGGGCCCTATTCAGGACTCTCTACAATAGAACAATAGCACAAGGTGGCCGAGGCAAACGTCTAGACAGCTTCCCTCCCCACCTGCGGACGTCGGCGCTCCGTGTCTGGGTGGTCTGGGCGAGAGAGCCGCATGGAGGATTTGCAATAGCGGCGGCTGTATAAGGACTTGAGAGGCGCTGCTATATTCATCAAGTTGATATAAGGCAGTCGAGGCATGATTCGTTGGTTCGTTCGAGGAAGCTGCATAGTTGTCGGGTATAGTCTCAGCCTCGTCTCTGCTCGGTTAATTGGCCGGGTTGTTGCCCAGAGACATTGTGGTGAACCCAGAGATTGAAACAATCCTACCAGCCACATGGGATCTGGCCGTGTTTCAGCGCAGTCATTGGTCCTTCAGCCGCATGGGGTTCCCCGTCACATGTCTTTCGGTTCCTTCTCCGAGTTTCCCTCAAACCAAGTCCTACAAACAATGAGGACGGGAAGCTTGCCGCGGACAGCCACCGCGGGCGCCGATTTCGTTGGCAGCGCCCGCTCACCCAGCCCAGGGCGCCAGCCACTTATCCACATTCTTCAGTACTGTATTCCATCATTGCATCTGATATTAATCTATGGGAGTATATAAGCTGCCCTTGCAGGATTTTTTGCTTCGTTGGCTTGGCGCCCCTGCAGCAGCCATTGTTGGCGCCTCTCGCCGCCGGCTGTGCTGGACATGGCCAACAAAGACGCCCATGATGCCATTTCTATGGACAAGTTACACAAACAGAAGCAAAATAGTAGCCATGGCAATTTACCGCGCAAGCCCCTTGATGGGAAACATGTCTCGTTACTGAGCGTGTTGTGCTAGACAAACGTTGGTATGCTTGCCCCCCTGCCCACACGTCACGATGCAGTTTTACGCTTCACTCGAGCTACCACAATGACGGCACGGATGATGCCGGTCCTATCGATCCAGTCGAAAATCCTCTTTGCCACCCCCATACTCCCCAGAGATACCCCATACGGCTTGAGAGACCGCTGTTGCTTCTCCATGTGCGCCACCAGTCCGCCAAACACGGCCGACGTCACGTCGCGGATCTGCACAGTGGCCCTTTCGTAGCCTGCATCCACCAGCAGCTCCGTATATGCATCCTCCGTCAGGAATGCGCCCAGCGGGCAGCCCGCCAGGCGGCCGACCACCCTTGCCGCCACGCGCGCGGAGAGGAACGCCTTGTCGTTGAGCACGAGGTCAAACGCCATCAGGTCCGCCCTGAGCTCGCGCGCCGCGTACAGCAGCAGCGGCGTCCTGGACGGCGCAAAGTGGTACAGGCAGTCGAGCGCCAGCAGCCAGCGTTCCTGGAGCGCCGCGTCGGCGACGCCGTCGACGAGCGTGCGGACGGGCCGCGCCCACGACTCGGGCCGCGCAGCGTCGGCGCCCAGCAGCCGAAACGACTCGGGCCAGAGCGCGACGCCGCGGCGCCGCGCGCTCGCCACCTCGCGCTCGACGCGCTGCTGCGCGACCTGCAGCTGCGCCGGGTTGAGCGTGAGGCCGACGTACCGGAAGCGCTGCCAGGCCGGCGCGTCGAGCGCGCGCGCGAGCTCCACCGTCTGGTCGCCGCAGCCGAAGCCGACGTCGAGGATGGCGATGCTGCGGCGGCCGCGCAGCTCCTTTTCGGCGACGGCGTCGCCGGTGAGCAGGTCGGCGGCGCGCAGCACTTCGCGGAGCAGGGCGGCGCAGGCCTGGTCCATCTGCTGGATTTTCTCACCGCGCGCTGTTCGCCTAGCGGGGAGCGTGAGCGGGAGAAGATCACCCAAGGGCATCGAGTCCATCGGCGGCTTACCAGTATCCCAAGTTCATCCACATGGGCTGCATGGGCACGCGGATATTCAGCTTCCAGTGGGCCAGGTCGTAGACGTCGCTGCGCAGCATGGACACGACGCGCGTGACAAGCGCCAGCAGGATCGTGGCCAGGCAGCCCGCGGCTGCGCCGTAGAGAAAGTCATCCGAGACCCGGTCGCTGATGAATTGCTCGCGCCATTGATGAAGCCGATCCATTCTCAGATATGGTGGCTGTCAGGACGAGGTGGAAGATGGCGTGTTCCCCTACGCAAACGCACATGCCATTTTAAACGTGCCACCGAAATTTAGCGCGCGACAGTCTCGCGCCTCTACGCCGTAGGCGACTGACATGACATTGGCACATGGCTACACCACGTTGGATTAAAATATTTGCAAAACGTTTTTCATTCAACGATTATAGTCTCTTTTTTACATTCCAACATCTATGCGTCTATATGAAATTGTCCTCACTGGTTTATCTCGTTCGGGTTTCTCTTGCCTCATGCGCCCAGACCAGTTTCGCAACAAACAAGCATCGACACGCCCGCCTACCAATAGATGCAATACGCTTACGAATTCGTAGCAAAACGACTCTTTTTCCGAATCTGCTTGCCATGTCGATAGAAAATAAAGGGAAACGGCATCATCGCAAGCAATAGAAATGCCAGGAGCGTAGAGGCCCATTGGAAACCGAGCTTGTGGTACATTTGGTTTCCGAAAAGCGGGAAAGCAGTAGCAAATAGGCAGCGGACAAAAGCATTGGCAGCAAGCGCACTGGCGGCGTATGTGGGATACGCATCAACCAGGAAGGTAAAGATGCCGGTGTATACGAGAACGATGCTAGTCAAAGGTTAGTCACGAAGTCCATCTGCGTCTCGGCTTACAAGAGACATACCCGGCCCCAAAGATTGCTTCACCAATCATTGGCACAATCCAATGGATCTGAGGATAAGACGTCCACGCAAAAATAAAGACACCCACTGGGGCAAGCACCGCGCCAAGCACCGCCGGCGGCAGACGGAACTCGGGTTCCGTTTTGCCCTTGACGCCCGTCTCCTGCTCCAGCTTGGCCACGAGGCCCATGCGGAAGCGGTGCCACAGGGGATCGGTCGCCGTAGCAATCAACATGCCGACGCAGATGGGGATAAAGGCCATGCCCACCTGCCATAGGTTGAAGCCATAGTTTGTGCTGAAGACGAGCGCAAAGGCGCCAAAGAAGAGGTACAGGATGCCCAGCAGAATCGCCGACAGCAGACACAGGTTCAGGCACATGGGCTCAAACATCAGCAGCTGCATCGGCCGCCGGAGCGAGAGGCCAATGGCGCGGGCAACCGACTTCTGCGTCTTCTCCGTCGGCGCGCGCCAGCGGTCCTCGCCCGTGCGCGCGCGCAGCTGCCGCGCCTTGTTCCGGAGCAGGATGGGATGGTACGTCTCGGGCACCAGCGCGACGACCGCGACGAGCATCACGCCGGTCCAGATGAGAAACACATAGTACGTCCACCGCCAGTTGGCGTTGTAGTTGATGAAGCCGCCAATCAGGGGGCCGGCCGTCGGGCCGAGAAACGGCGCCAGCGAGAACAGCACCATGGGCGCCTGCAGCTCGTGCCGCTGAAAGAGGTCGCCGACGGTGCCGCCCGAGACGGCGAGGAAGGCGCTGCCCGAGAAGCCGCCAAAGAAGCGCGAGACGAGAATGGTCTGGATGTTGGTGCCAAAGGCGCCCGCAAAGAGGAAGAGCACAAACACGGTCCAGGCGACGAGGTAGATGGGCCGGCGCCCGTAAAACTCGCTCAGTGGGCCAAAGAGCATGGGCCCAAAGGCGATGCCCAGCACGAAAAGGGACAGCCCGACGACGGATACGATGCGCGAGTTGCCAAACTCGGCTTCCATCTGCGCATAGGTCGACGTGTAGCCGGAACTGATGTTTGTGCTGCCGAGATGGTGTAAGTAGGTTGGATGCAAGTGGTCCGCCACCCCCGGCAAACTTACACAGTGAAGCTACCTGCGCAGAGAATCGAGACAATGACCCATTTCTTGGCTTTTTGAAAGCTCCACGGGCATAGAGGATCGTTGGCGCCGTCATCCCAGCCTACTTCAAAGGGGTCCTTTTCTTGTACACGCCGAGGCTGCTCCTCGTCCACACCGTAGCCGTTTTGTGATCGGATTCTGTCCAGGGACTCTGTCGAGTGCTGCGACACGGTGTTTGACAGAACGCCGTCGCTGCCCTGCTCATCGGGGTGTTGGTGCTGGGGTTCGGGGCCGCTGGGGCTCCCGCCGCCCGGTGGCTGTTGCTTTTCAATGTCGATACTCATAGCTCATTGGTAACCATGTATAGCGTGAGTGTTGAGCTAGAAGCACTCCGAGACGGGTCCAAGATTTTATTAAAAGATGGTTCTTTTGGTTATTTGCAGAAAGCCGGTCTAGTTATTGCCGAGCTGGCAACGACGTCCACAACCTTGGAAAGACGGGAGTGGAGGTATCTTAGGTTGAGGAGTAAAAAGACTGGAAGGAGAAAGCGAAGTGGTTCGGCCGGACGGGGGATACCAAAGAAGAGGGCATGTGGGCGTTTTTGATCCCCAAGTCTCGCGTCGCGAAGTGTCCTGTCCCGGAAGCGTCCGCGTCTACCAAAACGCGACGTAGCGATTGGTAATAAGGATGAGAAGGTCAAGGGCCACCAAACAAACAGGGCACGATGAAGAGAAAATAAAAAAGGCTGGCCGTTCCGCCATTTCCCATTTCTCTGTCGAGCAGAAAAAGTCGTTGATGCGGGCCGAATTGCTTCTCTCTAGTGGCGACTGACAAGCTCCGGCTCGGCTCGGCACTACCAGTTAGGCGCGAGATGAATCCCGCTTTATTATCCAACTAAATGGGGTTCCAACTAGTAAACCAATTTACAGAGGCAGAGTGGCCCAATGAGGGGACAGAAAAGCCCACCGGTGGAACTGTGACGTCTTTGCATATTTTGACGTTCGGGCCGAGTGGTATACGGTTTTGTAAGCACCAATACTCAATACTTCCAGGTCTTTGAAGACTTGGGCACAGATCGGAGATGGACCGACGAACGGAAACAAGAACAATTCAGATAAAAACCGCACTTGTTTGGTTTCTAGGTAATGCGAGACAATAGTGTCCCGTCGTTCCTCGCTGCGACAACAGGCTAAAATGTCCGAGACAACCCCGGCCGGGAATAGCAGCAAACCCGCCTAGCAAAACCATGTTGACCAAAAAAACTGTCATCGGCCTCGTCTGACCTGGGGTGTGCTGCTGAACTTGCACAGAGAAGAGAAACGATACTGGTGGGCGAGCCCGGAGAGCCCACACCGATCATGGCTCCCAGACCGACCCCTCACGACAGCGGCCAGCGAAAGCCGGCCCGGAGCCGGCGTCGAGGCTCCACAGCTTCCCTGCAGCGCCGCTGTGAGGAGTAAGCTGCTGACTGTTTTTGCACTTTTTACATTATATTGGTCTTCGTGGCTTGGTCATGATAAACAAAGTAAAATTTCAAGTGTCGCTACTTGTTACTTTGATATGATTTCTGCGGAGGTAGTGTCCGCTGGCGCCGCCCCGGCCTAGCCTTATTTCTATATGTCCCGTTTCAATCCCCCGCCCATCTATACAGCCATCACTTGCCATGCACTAAATACGTATGCTATATATATGCTAAAGATTCCCATTCATTCGCTCATTCAAAAAAAAAGATACTTGTCCGCCTTATATACAACTTGACAAACAAGCAACGCTCTCCAATGCATACACGTCGTGTGTACCCAATCTGGATGGCGCTCAATAGTACTCTGGCAGACCATTCTTGGCAAAGTCAGGCACAGCCGTGTCACAGTTAAAGTCTCGAGAATAGGCCAGCGGTGGGAGAATACCAGCCTTGAGCCCGGCCTCGTACGACCACTGGGGCGCGCTCTCCGTCTTCCACGTCCAGTACCACCAGCCCCAGCCCTTTTCGAAGCTGTGCATCTGCGCCTCGGCAAACATTCTGAGAAACTGCTTGTACTCGGCGCTCCACTTGCTCGGGTCCGCGTTGGCCGAGGCGCAGGAGCACTGCTTGTTCTTGGTCGGGCATCGCGGCGTCAGGATCGACGTCGTGGCGTCGCCCGTGTTCAGCGTGCCCTCCCATCGGTTGCCCCAGCCCACGTTGGTAAGGTGCTTGGCGCAGTCGGTATCGGCCTGCGACCACTCGGCGAACAAGGTCGGTCCGTACCCGGTGCTCGTGTCCATGCTTTGTTGTGTCTGCTTGGTCCACCCATCGCAGGCGTACTGCACCTTTTTCTGATGCGAAAAGTCGATTTGATTTTCGTTGAAGATGACATACTGATGAACATCAAGCGCCATGGTGTCGTACCCCGTCATGCGGCCCTGCCAGTTCTCGAGGCCCATGAAGCCGTCACCGAATACCACGATGCCCTGCACCCCGTTCTTGCGCACCATCTTGTACGCGTTCTCGGTCCAGCTAATCACTTTGGAAGAATCTAGCAGCACCATCCGCGGCTCGTTGGCCAGTCCGTAGTGGCTGATGATATTCTTGTAGCGGTCTTGGCCAAAGAATTTCGACAGCCGATCGTGGACATCCAGTGACCGCTGGGCGTTTGTGTCGCCATCTGTGCCGTTGAGCCAGCCGATGGTGCCCCATCGTCCACTGTGGTTCCAGCCATTCTGACTCCCCGGAAGTCCATGGAGATCGAGATTGACGCGGAGACCATACTTTCGTGCCCACTCGATAGCGCGCAGCAAGTACCGCCACGAGGTCCGGAACAAGTATGGGTCTGCATCGTACGTCGTCACAGCCCAGTACGAGAACGGGATACGCACATGATCCAGGCCAGCAGCTGCAATGGCTTTGAATGTGTCTTCGGTGATAAAGGTCGAATAGTGCTTCTCCAGTGTTGAAGCTGCGGAATCGCCCAGGTACGTCACCAGCGTCCATTCGTCAATGATGCCCATGCTGAGCGGGTAGTCGAATAAAGATGGTGTAATCCATGGCTCGAGTGATAGCCACCCTCCCAGGTTTACCCCGCGCGCCGGCAGATCGCCATACTTTCCCCAAGCCTTATTCAATGCCGGGACCTTGTCGTTGGCCTTTGCCGAGTCGTCCCAGTTCGAGTATAGGCCCATGACAGGCAGGTCGCCGACCATTTCGTCTGTAAACGTGACGTTGAAATCCGTCGTGGTAGCCCATGTCCACGGGTCGAGATAGGTGTTTCGCCACTTCTCCGGTATCGAGTTTCGATCTTGCCCGCTCAGCGAGGATGATGAAGATGTCTCGTTTCCTCCGCCCCCGCCTCCCTTTTTCTTTTGACTGACCACGACAGCGACGGCGGCGATGATGATTAATAAGACGACACTGATAGCCCCCAAAATCCACCACCACTTCTTCTTCTTGCTCCAACTTCTTTTTGTTTGCGGAAGAAGTTCGTCCTTTTCGTATGATTCGTCGCTCCACCCGCGTTGATGTCCTCGCGCACGACCTTCTTCCATGACAGCGCCGCTCACTACTCGCTTCTTCCTTTTCTTCTCCTTCCTCTTCCGCTCTCTTTCCAGCGCGCGTTCGGCTTCGGCGTCGGGTTCATCTTCGTAACGGTGGTGCGGTGCGCGCCGTCGATCCGAGTTTCGACTTTTGCGTTTGGTATTCTCCTTGTTCAACTGATTGAGAGCATCCACAGAAAGCTTCTGTGAGCTCTTCGTACTTCGCGATTCTCGTCTCTCTCGTCGTTCCCGTCGCTCCCGTCTCTCCTGTCTTTCTCGTCGCTCTCGTCGTTCTGATGTTTCCCTGTCTTCCGTGGTTTCACGGCTCTCTCTTGTGTCGTCAGATGCCGTGCCTGGTCGTCTCGCATGTGATCGTCTTTTGCGCTCGTGATGTCGTCGAGATTGGTCGCCGCTTAGCGGTCGCGATCGCCGCGCTTCTCGAGGTGACTCCCTCGATGGCATTATTCCTGCCAGTTTATGTTAACCTGGCCAGATTGGAATGCCAGGGAAGGAGAAGCGCCGGTGCTAAATCCATCGAGGAGAGCAGACGTGTCTTGGCAATTGGTTAGCCACGTAATTGCCCAGCCTTCACTTATTGCACGTGCGCCACCTCGTATGATGGTTGCCGCAATGCCGGTGTGTTTGGCTAAATGATGTTGGCTGAGCAACCATCTGGCACAGCCACACTAGCACCAGCCTCATCTGTCGGCCTGCAAGCCACGCTTCCCCAGAAGAGCGGCACAAGAAGTGATGCGCCCCGCTTTTCCCGGCTCTCCAGATTCAGGCCCTTGGCCCATTTCGTCAACCCCGCGAGAGGCCGCAGCAAGCCGAGTCTCAATCCGCCTGGTCATCGTGGACAAAACCGCCCGTGGCCGCGGCCGTGATACTTTTTCCTACACCACTCCTCCTCGACCCGGTATCCTTCACGCAGCTGCACAAGAGGTCCGCCCGATATCACAATGAAGCGACAAGTTGCTCGCCAATTTCGCAGGGCCCTTCAAACGCCCCATCTACCGGCCGCTGCCCTTCCTCTACACGCGTCTCGCTGCTACTCTACACATCCTCCCAACGCCAAGCTGAATCTGCCCATCGAATATGGTTCTACACCTTTATTAGCGCACAGCGCTGACGCGGTCCAAAAAAACTTGGAGATTCCCGCCGAGGTTCGCAATGGCGCTACCAAGAAGATGAATCTCTTCCAGGCTGTCAACGATGCCCTTGGCACCGCTCTTGGCGAGGACGAGTCGGTGGTTGTCTTTGGCGAGGATGTTGCTTTTGGTGGCGTATTTCGATGCACAATGAAGCTGGCTGAGACACACGGTACCGAGCGCGTCTTCAACACGCCGCTCTCGGAGCAGGGTATTCTCGGCTTTGGTATTGGTCTTGCAGCAGAGGGCATGCGCCCTGTTGCTGAAATTCAGTTTGCCGATTACGTTTACCCAGCTTTCGATCAGATTGTCAACGAAGCTGCCAAGATGCGATTCCGTGATGGTACCAATGGTCGCGGCGCTGGTGGCCTCACAGTTCGCATGCCTTGCGGCGGTGTCGGCCACGGTGCTCTCTATCACTCGCAATCTCCGGAAAGCTTATTCACACACGTTCCTGGTGTGCGTGTCATCATGCCCAGATCCCCTATTCAGGCCAAAGGCCTTCTTCTATCCGCGATTCGCTGCAACGACCCTTGCATCTTCATGGAACCTAAGATTCTGTACCGTGCCGCCGTTGAGCAAGTTCCTGTCGCTTCCTACGAGCTACCGCTTTCCAAGGCCGAGGTGCTCAAGGAAGGTAGCAATGTCACAGTTATCTCCTATGGTCAACCTCTTTACTATTGCATTGAGGCCATTCGCCAAATTGAGGCACAGCGCCCCGACGTCTCCATCGAGCTAATCGACCTGCGCACTGTCCATCCCTTTGACAGAGAGACTGTCTTTGAGAGTGTCAAGAAGACCGGGAGAGTAATGATCGTCCATGAGGCCTATACGACGGCCGGTATTGCTTCTGAAGTGGCCGCAGCTGTTCAAGAAAACCCCGATACTTTCAACAGACTGGAAGCGCCTGTTCGCCGCGTGGCTGGCTGGGATATTCACAACTCCTTGGCCTTTGAGAGATTCCATCTGCCGGATATCACGAGTAAGTTTTGATGGATTGCCGAAATACAATGTGCTTGCAGAAAGCTAACGCGCTTCTAGGAGTATATGACAACATCAAGCGCTTGTTAGATTACTAGAGGACAAAGCGCTTTTTTTGTTGAAGCTTTGTCGTTTGGGAAGGTGGATGCTGCTTTCATATCAAGAAATATAGACTACGCTCAGGCAGTATAAAAAATTGAAAGAATAAATCATTTAATCTCATCCTCATCAGTGTATTCGCCTCGGTCGCTGTAATTGCATGTACAGCAAGGAACAAATTGACCTTATCACCGAGCTGCCCCCTCTTGCTGTGCGGCGCCTGCCCCGCCCACGTCACGCTGCCGCCACAGGTTGCGCCACGGTAAGCTTTCGACTTTCCGTAACAGCATCACTGTCTGCTCCAAGATCGCAGAAACGCCTATTTATCGCAGCAGGATTGCATCGTCTCAATGTCGCAGCTCGAGACCGTGGCATCGTTCATCGAGGGAGCTCCTCCCGGCGAGGTGAGCCGCCACTTACCCCTCCTCAGCCCAATTGTCCGAAACTCCTGAAGCTAACCTCCGCCATTCGCGACAGCTTGCCGATGTTGTTGCCGGTGCGTATGCAGCCCATATAGTACCGCCGCATCTATGCGACGCCTCGAAATTAACAGTCGCTTGTTGCAGATATCAAGACCCTGACCGCGTCGTCGCCGAACCTCGTCTCGCAGCTCGGACCGGCGTTTCAAAAGTACAATGAAGAACAGCTGATTACTGTGAAGCTGCCTGGAAGCAGCCAATTTGTGGGTGGATGCTGTGCAAAGTGCAATATAGGCTCTGCTAATACCGAGGCTCAACTCCCACAGGTTCTCGTCAGCGAACACAATAACTTGGGCGATGGCCGATACTACGATGTCGAGAGCTCTTCTAGCTTTGCGTTTGATCACGCCACACAGGTTCGTGCCAACAAAGGACCCTCGTATCGAATGCACGCTGATCCTTTTTCTGCAGAAAGCTAGCGCTGTCCAGAGCCATACTATCGAAGGCGCGCAGGCCGAACTTACGTATGCACAACCTGAATATGTACGATGCGACAATTTTTAACAGAGCAACTTTTGCAGACACTCTACATTGAAGACGCTGGGCACATATATCTCTGAACATTTTCCCAGTGCGGCCTACGGCGTTTACCCGATCGAGGCAGACTCCAAGGTTGCCATTATCATTGTGGCCAATAAATACAGCCCCAACAACTTTTGGTAGATAATGGTCATCGCGTGCATTGCCTTGCGCATATCTAACAAGTGGGAATAGGAACGGCCGTTGGAGATCTGTTTACACATTCGACCCCTCGTCTAGCCTGCTGGAAGGTACCATCAAGGTCGACGTCCACTACTACGAAGACGGAAACGTGCGTCTGCAGACCAAGAAGCCAGTCTCCGTCTCGATCTCGTCGGGTACCGGTGCTGGCATCGCCAAGGAGATTTCCTCAACGGAAAGGAAATATCAAGAGGAGCTCAACAAAGGCTTTGTCAGCCTGAGCGAGGGTGCGTTCAAGGGCCTGCGCAGGCAGCTGCCGATTACCCGACAAAAGATCGAATGGGACAAGGTTACAGGCTACAGACTCGGCCAGGACATTGGCGGTGGTTCGTCGAAGCGATAGGCAGGGCGCGATAGGTAGATAAGTAGAAAGTCCGCGAATGTGCCACGCTCAAATTAAATATGCGTCGGTTCGAAGAGCGGTCGTACATTCAGCATACATTCATACCGAACAGGTTTAGACATTCTATGCATCGCAAGGATGCTGTTTAATCCTTGGGGCTATTCCCATGGACTTTCGGGATCGCGCTGCGCGGAGGGCGCGGGATGGCTTGTGGGATGGGCTACCAGTACAAATACGCTGCTCCACCGGAATTATGCCAAACGGAATAATGCCAGATAGAGGGGCCAGACAAAGGAATCTGCAGGGTGGCAGTCAAGTGAGCAGAAACATGTACGAAGTCGGGCGGTAAGGAGCGGAGGGCTGTTTTATTGGTGGTGGGCGGTCAAAGAACGGACATGAAACTACGAGTATTACCCAGGGTGGGTAGTAGACTTGTTGATGCCGAGTTTCGCTCCGTGTGATCGGAACCGGGAGAGAAAACACCGACCGGTTTGTGTGGACACAGCACACATGCGGGGAGCACAGATTTGGCCAGGTAGCAAGACGGGAAAAGTTCGTAGGTACCTAGTTAGGACGAGGAGGAGACCATGTCGAGGATTGGATACGGTTGAGGGACATGTGATAGGGATCGATAGGTAATATTGCTTCCCCGGGTTCTTACGCGTGTTTGGGGGGGAAAGACTTGGGCTGTTCTTGGTACTGATAGTGATTATGGTGAGGACTCGGCGCATCCATACCTACCCAGGAATATAGATGAAGTACCTAAAAGTATACGGATATAACTAAAAGTGGTAATACCTAGGCGGCGTCTCTCCTCCGCATCCGTACTTTGTGATGTAGTTATTGATGAATCGACTGATGAGAAGTTCGGTCCGCGTCTTGAGATCTGGCTTCAGCGCATGGCCGGGACGCCACTGCACAAAGCAAGTGAGCAAGGGCGGGCGCGCGGCTTTGCTGGAGGAGCTCGCACTTTCGGTGCCTCGAGGCTGAAGTCCTGACAGTGAGTGTTAGCTTCTGCACCACCGACTCGCGTAGAAGTTGCGCTCTCAGCAAACGGCCTCGGCCCCCCGACGAATAGGAGCCAGCGGACGGTCATTTGCAAAGCGATAATTGGCCACCTCCAAGACAGGTGGACCATTGGCCACTCGGTTTTTCATTGCACATGTGGATGCACTGGATGGCCGCTCTGTTGGGGCAGAGGGGGGTACCTGTGGTCTTTCGGGCGGGCCTCCAGGGCACCGACTGCGCTACCCGGGGCTGCTCTAGAGGACCCGGAATAGCCAGACCCTTTTCCGTCCTCCGCTGCGCAACCTCTGAACTGCGCTGACCTGCTCGTGCTGATCTGACTTCCACACCTTCATCTCAACCATTTGCTTTCTTCTCCTCCCCCTCAGATTTCCACTTCTGTCCTTTTCTGCGCTGCGGCCTTTCCCACGAACACGAAGAACCCATCGACGTCACTGAAATACCCATCCCTTTTTTTCTAACCGAATACTCCCCCTTTGTACCAAACTTTCGACAACCGTCGACCGAGCCAAAAAAAAATGTCCGACGTCAAGGCGTTTACTTTCCAGGATGTTGCCGAGCACAACACCAAGAAGGATTGCTACCTCGTAGTCCACGACAAGGTCTACGACTGCTCCCGGTTCATTGACGAGCACCCGTAAGTCGAGCCCCGTTCCAGGCGGCGCAAATGTTGTCGCATGGCGGCCCCCAGGATGCCCATGCTGACTGCGCCCCCCCGTCTTACTTAGTGGTGGTGAGGAAGTTATTCTCGATGTTGCTGGCCAGGATGCCTCTGAGGCTTTCGAGGATGTCGGCCACTCTGATGAGGCCCGCGAGAGCCTGGACGAGCTCCTCGTCGGAACCCTGAAGCGCGCGGTAAGCACCCGACCAATTGCGCTCCCCGGCGCTCGACACGCGCCGGATCTCGCGCATCATACGATTGCACTATTTTTTTAACATTGTCTAACTTGACTTGCTACAGCCCGGCGACCCTGCCCCCAAGGCCACCCCCGCCGCCAAGACGGCCAACTCTGGCAACGCCGACAGCACCGGCCTCGGCATTGGCCTCTATGGCATTGTCCTCATCGGTGGCATCCTCGGCTACATTGGCTACCAGTACCTTCAGAGCCAACAAGAACAGCAATCTGCCTAAGTCGAACCAGGGCTCCTGCGATCAGCAGGCACGCGCCACTGGCGATATGGCATGGCCGGTGCAGAGCCGACCACACACGAATTCGTCGCGGTGGCGTCCATGTCGAAGAAATGAGTTTTCAAAAATGGGAGTTTGCATAGGTACGGTTCGAGCGTTGAACGGAACGGGTGTCCTCACGCCGTATTGGGCGCATGATGCGAATACGCACGGTGCGTGACTGCTTTGATAGAACGGCGCACGAGCAACTGATGCTCCGTCTCCGCGCCCATCTTACATATGTAGAGTCGAGGTGCGATTTGGCGGAGCATTCTAGATAGAATTTGCGTTTTAGATATAAGTGTTTTAATCAATGATACATGTGGGAAATTTACCAGATGCACAAGAGCCAGTGCAATGCATGTCGCACCCAAATCGTCGCTTGTCGTGCGGTAGGAACTTCGTGTTCGTTCTTGTGAGCCCACTAGCCACACCACACAGTGCCCAACGCCACAACCGCCACAAGCACCAGCCACACCGCACTGCCTGAGTTGTGCGACTTGGTTTCCAATAGTTTCATCAGCCGACAAAGGTTTTGTACTCCTTTGCAACTCTCCCATCAACACCCCCGCTTCTCATCAACCGCAGGTCTGCTCCATCTCGACTTTCTACATCGTCTGGCTCTCATCACGCGCATCGACTCCCTCATTCTCACCGCCCGACGCTGCTGCCGACCTGCGGGTCTGCCGAGTCCGCCGCCCACCATGTCCTTTTTCGAGAAGCAGTCCGCCGCCTTCAAGGGCACGCTCGCGTCGGCGGCGTCGAAGCTCTCGAACCCGATGAGCGTCAAGGCGGCCTCGCTCGCGCCGCCGTCGCCGTCACCGTCGGCGGCCTCGGACGGCGCGACGCCCACACCGACAGCGAAGCGCAAGCGCGAAGCGCACCCCGAGGTGTACTCGCAGCCGCAGCTGACGGGCTACGGCGTCGACGTCAAGTCGCACATGAAGTTTGCCGTCGACTTCCTCAAGGCGCGCGGCGTGGCCAAGTCGATGAAGGACATCATCGACCACCTGAGCGTGCGGGGCACGACCGACGAGCACAAGCAGGAGCTGGCCGAGGGCCTGCGCGGACACCCGCGCGTGGAGTGGCGGCCAGACACGAGCCTGAGCGAGCAGACGTGGCGCACCGGCAGCTACAACTACCGCCCGGTGGTGCCTGGCGTGACCGACGCCACGAGCCTGCTCGCGTTTCTGCAGCGCAAGTCGGACGCCTCGAGCCTCGCGGTGCGCGACCTCAAGGACGGCTGGCCCGAGTGCGAGGACACGCTGGCGCGCCTCGAGACGCAGCACCGGATCCTCGTCACGCGCACCAACCGCGAAAACTTTCCGCGCCACGTCTGGCTCGACGACGCCTCGCTGCACCACGCCATCCAGCCCGAGTTTCAGGCCATGTGGCGCCGCGTGCAGCTCCCCAGCGTCGACGACATGCACCGCAAGCTGTCGAGCGTCCAGCTCAAGCCCACGAGCGAGGACCCCCGCAAGATGGCCGCGGCCGCCAACAAGCCCAAGGTGCAGAAGAAGCGGGCGAGCAAGCGCGGTGGCAAGCAGACGAATGTGCATATGACGCACCTCCTGCAAGACTACAGCAACCTTCGCCGCTGAGAGTTGGGTCCTGCGAGAGCAGGGTGTTTGTGCTTGCGTTCAAATGCTGAGGGAGACGGGAGGGAGAACAGGGATAGACATGGCGTGTATCATACGGGCAGTATCATTTTGTGCGCTTTTGTTGAATGGGAACATTTGTGCACTGGCGTTTTTTTGTTTTTCTTTCTATTACCAAAAGTATTTGCATCTTACTCGTTTCGTTGTCTTGAGTTCAGGCAAAGGCCAAGACACTTGGTAGAAACTCGAGATTGGGAACAGCGGGCGTTGAGGATTCTTTATTACTAGAGCGTCAACTCGTTAATTAGGTACGGCTGGGCAATAATTTATGGCACCTTTGATATTCAATGGATCTTGGAAACGTCAATCATGCCCGCCCAACGCTGTTTTTGATGTGCCCTGCCCAAGACTTGGCATGTCTGGTCTGTCCACGATTCCGCCAAGATATGTGATTAGACGGGCATGGAGACGGGGTGACCAACAGCAAGGCCTGTGGTGCTCTGCTAGCTAGAGACCTTGGCGTATATCAATCCATTGGAGAGACGGATTTTTGCCCTTGAATTACCTTTTTTTTCAATTTCAAGCAGGGTCCAGGGGAAATACAGATCTATTACAGGAAAACGGCGGACTTGGCGTACATGACTGCCAGAATTGTGCAGAAAGGCATTGTCATCATAGATGAAACATGGAATTGATCAATTCGCTAAATGATGAGTAGGTATATAAAAGGCAGCGGGCTCGACTACCTAGGTAGGGAAGTTTGCCCGCCCGCCTCGCGTTTCTGGCCTCCCAGACAGCCCGCAAGGAGAAAGCTGCAGAACAAGCGCATGCTGAATATAAAACAGTTTGACACAACTGTGAAGAGGGAAAGCCGGCAACTTGTCAACCGCGCCCGGAATCGCGCCCCATGCATCCTTTGAACCCGGTTTCAATGTAGCGATGCTGCCAGAAGGGGGGGGTGTCATGCAATTCGTGTTGGGGTTTTTCCAGCGCAGATGACACGTTGCGCTCCTCGCAAAAACACTCTGCGTTTTCCCGCGCCACTCACGCCAGTTTCTCGTCGTAAATCTTGGCAAACAAGTCGGTAAAGACGTGCGCGTCCTGGAACCCGCCGACCTTGAAGCGGCCGAGCACGGTGACGCACGGGACGGCCTCGAT